TCTGTTCATTGCGGTACGGCCCGTCGAAGTTGAAGGGAATTCTTGAACACACACTGCCCTTTCAACCGACCAGGCTACAGCAAATAGTTTGTTCACTGAACTAGTCGCTGGACTATTCACTCAGGTCCAGCTTCCTGGCTGTCGGGCGAAGACAGCACCCGAGCGGAACATTAGTCTTTTAATCTGACGCCGACGGCGGCGAGAGCGATCGCGATCGATGAAAGGCGTATACCCTCCAATCCATTGACACATCTCAAAGTCTGGTCATCTTTTTGGGGTTGTTTCTGCTGATGGAGCTACTGCGAGCTCACACGCCTCGCTGCTGTTCTTGCGCATACCAAATCGCCCATCCCTTGCTCAAGGGAAGACGGGATATGCTAGCATGGCTCTGACTCTCGGTGATTCCATTCACAGATCGCCTATACCAGGACACATGAGGCTATAATGGGCTTTCACTTATAGTATGGCAATTAGTGCTGCGGCGCGAACGGTCCGTTGTTTGCCGTTCGAGGACTCGCACAACGGATCCAGTGCAACTGTTGAAGAAGCACAGCTTTACGCCAGCGGAGTTTTGAGTCACGGAGAAATACCGTAGAGCCTAATCTGACTCAGCTCCCGAATATGTGCAAGTTGTAATTGGAACTTTTTGCTAAGTTTGTCCATATCTGCTGAACTGGCACTCTCAATGGTGTTTGTTCCGCAGTAAGTACATGCTCCGGGGAAGCTGGTACCCTATGCTTTTTCAAGAATCACCAGTAGACAAGTGCTGCTGGTAACTCTGCGATCAGTGGTTGAAAATCCACTAATATTGCACTTAGCTTCGAAAGCAGCTGCATGGTCCGGTACCGAGCTGTTGGCCTTGTCCGGCGCGGCCGATGGCATCCACGGACAACTACAACAACAACAACGAAACGGACCACCAATTGGCGCAAGGACATTATCTGACTAGCCTTGCTAGCCATTCAGTCCTTTGACAAAGAACCTATCGACCTCCGGCTGTGACCTCGTTTTGGTCTGCGCTCTACTCAGGCGTGTGGCTAGTGCGCAGACCTAGTGAATGCACATAATTCTCCGACCCTGACATGCGTCAGCCCAAATCTTACGTCAAAGCAAACCCTGAACCAACCAAACTTCATGGATCCATCATCCAAAAACATGAAGCCGTATTCTTTCCATGTGCATGTGAACGATATGCACACAGCCTTTGAGCGACAATTCGGTCAGTCTCCGAGATCGACGGTACAACGACACCGCCGAATTGTATCAAAGCCACGGATAGCCCACGAACTATTGGTCTGTGCAGATGTCGTGGAATCAAACGATACGGCTGTGGATGAACACAGCTTCTAACTTACCGGATCAGGATGCTACCAATCAAGGCTGTTTGTATGCAGAGTGACTAACCACACACTACGTTGTGATTACACGTCTAAGCCCAAGGCGTCTCCTTAGCGGGATCACAGCGCGAGCATCGTCACAAGAGACGCCCTCTGTCCACCGAAATGTCAAACTTTTGTAGACCATAATCCGGGGACGGGCAATCAACAACGCCACAGTTGCGCGACATGTGAATGCCGTATTGATTTCACGACGCCAACCCCGCTTCGAACAAGCTCCACAATCTGTCTGAAAACAACTTGATGATCAATAGTGCCCATACATCCTCGATGTGGTTAATTTGTCTCTTGGCCAGTGCGCCAATCACGAAGTTGTTGTTCGATGTCTCTGGCGTCCAGTAACTATTGTTAACCACAGTTGAGCCAGGACTAAACGAACTTCCGCCCCTGAATGCTGCATGTTTTCTGTAACTTGAGGCAGCTGGGCACGACAGTTGGCATCGGACATACCCACGAAGTGAGTCTTCGTAATCCTTCCCTGTTCAGGCTGGCTGAGCCATCAACATGGGACTGCTAAGACAAGCAATAACTGAATATCGACCGATGATACTGTTCGAAGGTAGCGTTTGGGTTTGAAATTGATTCCAAGCTGCTGCTCATTCAGGACGACCAGTGTACAGCTTGTCGAGCCGCCGGGTCAAGTTCAAATCCATGAGCGTATGGCCCTAGATTAATGCTTTGAGGACTTCGGACTCTTCGTAATGATGCTTTTTGAATTTCGTCCCGCAAATCGCAGTTGCGTCGTGCACCCAGCTCCGCAGTTCGGCTCCGCAGTCACTGACATGCCATTCACCGAAAACTTGCGCAGGATCTCGTCATACTCATTCTCGTGTCCGATCAACTGACGGCTTCCACGGCAAAGATGCCTAGCGGAACAGTCTTCGGGTACTCAACCCTTGGGATAACTGGATCGGCCAAGTCTTCCTACATTGGGAAATGGGGTGGACAAACATCTCCTCAGCACATCTTCACGCGCGCAATCACGGGTGTATCATCCTATAGCATGACCGCAGAAATCCTGTTTCTCGTACCATGGAGGCCTCGAGATGCGCTGATCGGATGATTCTTGCTATATCCTTTCATTCAAAAGGTGGGTGACGGAGCGGCGCTGCTCGTAAGACTAGTGTTGAGGCCTGCTCTAACTAGCTACTGTCGTGACAACAACCACTGGCGCTACTTTCACGACATACATGCAGGGTCGGAAGAAGTATACAAAGATAGTCAGGACCAGCAATCCTCAGCCACCCCTACCCTTCTTGAGACGCAAGCCCCGAAAAGAACACATCATACCGATGAACGCTATTGCTGCAAGTATAGTGTCGCTGAGTTACCGATCGACCAACGGCTGCCGCAGCTGTGTCTTATTCCAAGGGAGGGGTCAAGAAAGCCTTGATTTCGGGGTTTCCGTGTTGCCCCTGCGATTTAGGGGGATGAAGAGAGAATCGTGTCGCTCCCCTTATCTCAAGGGATGATCACGAGGTTGAGCTGAAATTTTGAGGCTACAGCAGATCGCTTCTTCTTATACGGAGAGTATACTAACATGTATGTTAGAGATGAATGACGCTTCTGATGGTCGAGTACCCTCGCCAATCTTGTAGTATCGTGGAGCTGTTATTGTGCCATGTTGAACATGCGCTATGTCAATAGTCTCACGCCGCTCTTTCGGAGCAAAACGCCTATTGCTGCCTGGCAAAACAACACACAATGAACATCCAAGCATAGAGCTCAACTCGATTGTTGACAGGATCTTTTTCTTCCATGTTTGTTTCCTGCTTTCTTATAACAAATTTGCTACTGATCGACTGCAGAGACATCTGAACGAAGTAGGAAGACTGACTTTCGTGATCGGACTGGAAAGCAAGTATCCGCATTGAAATGATTCCACAAGCCTCTTTCGTTACTCTCTTGCACATCACTATTAAAGAAACCAGTGTTGACCTATTGAATCAATAGAAGAACAACGGTCTTGCTCAACCTAGATAGCTAAACGTACTAGCTAAACGCGACCCATTCAACAGGCACTCGGTCGGTGCGCATATCGCAACACGACCGTCCGAAGTCCAGCTGAGATGCTCGAATTTGTTTCCGAGTTCGATACTCCCACGCTTCTGTCCACACATCTCCACCATATCATCTCCCTGTCTTGGTACGGTAGACGAGGCTGGATGGAATCAATGCGACTCCTAGTCCGTGCCCACGATGTGTACAGGATGAGATGCCTTGTATCTCAGGAATACATGCACGAATCATTGGTAAGATCACTTCACACCCACACCAAAGAAAAGATCGGATCTTTTTCGCGAGACTGAGGTTAAGCCGAGCCCACCATCGCGAAGCAGAAATCTGATATGTGGCTGGAGGAATTTCTCTCGTAAGGGAGAAGCACACTCATGGAATTCGCGTTGTGTATAAGGATAGCTTAACGTCTCGCTCTTTGATACGCAAGTGAGTGTTATTCTGATTTGACCGCGGTCACTATACCAACATTTACATATCACATATAATCTTCTATCAACCATTCAATATATGGGTTTGAATCAGCATCAAGACTTGCATCCTAACTCCTCTTTCGTTCACCCTTACCATTCGCAACATGCATCACTCGGGCCCCACAGTCTCGGATAAACGCTAGCATCAGGCAAGGCTCATACTAGAACAATGTTTTGCTTGACCTGATTTCCCAACCACCTCTCTACTTCCGCTGACTGACATGTCCTAACCTCGCACTCGCAGGTCCCCTTTCGCATGTATTTCTCTCCACATGGTTCAACGAGAATGAAAGTGAAACATATTCTAGTCGAGTACCTGTCGACGGTGAAGACACACATCACCGATGACACCTCCTCGGCTTCGGCCTCCGGATCATCCCAACGTATAGCCCAACACATCTTCGATTCCCACTTAAGGTACGTGAAGGGAAGAATGAGCAAGTGCCTGCGCCCCTCGTATTCTCCTTCATGTTCTACAGGTAGTTGGACAATATACGCTGTCAGAAAGAGGTCTTGTGATACTTCCGAACCTCTTGTATTATTGTACTGACGATCACATAGTTCCCAGAATGCCGGTAGGCTCGTCGCCGATAGCGGATACTGGTTTTGGTTGAATGTTATCCCAGTTCTTTCCCACGCCAGGGGCGACCAACTTGGGAAGCCGTAACGCCGTCTAGCGCTCGATCCCGAAGTCCTCCAATAGAGGCACAGACGAAAGTCAGTCGCTCTGTTGCAGCGTGAGCTTCTTCCAAACGGAACACCCCAGAAACTGCCTATCGGGTCGTTCTCGGTGCGAAGGAATTTCAAAATACCCAATATAGCGTTCAAAGCATCTGACTGGAAGCTGAGACTACGAAGTGAAAAAACATTGAGCAGGCCCGTTCCCCTACTCAACCCATGATTAGTCGAATGGGGCACGGTATGTTCAAGATGTTCTATCTCTGGGTCGAGACCGATGACGTCGTTGTCACGCTTAGTGAACTCTTTGCATATGAATAGCATATCGTAGGGCGTAAAATAAAGTCTTCTTCTGGAAAGATATCCTTCTTGGAGAGTCCTGAAACGTTAGCATCAGGTTCTGAAGCACACCTTCCTGCTAGGTTCAATATATCACTCACCATGCACGATTCGACCACTTTGATTTCGCGATGTGACGACCCACAGGATCTGGTTCCAATATTACGGCAATAGAGTCGATGGTGACGACTAAGTCAGATAACTTTCGTTCCCGTCCTACACCGGGTAAACCGTACGCGCAGTCTTCGCCAGCCGCTGCAATCAAGGTGATCTGAGCTGAGGCATATATAACATCCATTTGCTGAATCTGAATATGCTTGTCGCTGGAATCCTGCTGGTGCACACACTAAAGTGGCGATTAGCTGAAACGATGGTCTGGAACGAGAAATACATTGAGACGTACGTATTTGTCCACCCAAAGGTATCGATAACCAAGACGCCGCGTAGCAGTAATACTATCTTCTATCGTAGCCGGTAGCTTAGTTGGTAACTTGGAAGTTTCTTGCAGCAACATGTTTCCGGCTTCGCCCCACACGTAAGATAATGCCACATATTGGCAGTCGTCTGGCGCTGGAATAACGATGCTCTGGAAACAATCAATGACTCTGAGATCGCACAATGGTCGCTGTTGCTCTAAATGACAGAGATCATGGGATTCTGCACAACGACCAATCCAGCTTCTGACTAAGTCGAGATCACACATCGGGGAACAGAACTCAGCAGTGTCATAGTGATTGGCTCCAATGGCTAGTTCCAGACCAGGAAGAGACGTCCACAGAGCCTCATTGTCGAATCCATACTCATTTTCGAATGCATACTCGAAACTTCCCCAGATATTGTCACACCGAGACCATTTTATGGAGGATGCTTCTAATCCAAGCGTACTTAGTCCCTGGTCGTAACAGGCTCCTTCTCTTTCATAGATTGCTGTTCCTATCAATCGACAAAGTGCGCAAAATGAAATCGTTAATGCCCGAACGCTACAGTTTACTTTGACAATCACTTCTTCGTACTCTGTTGGGTACGAAACTTCGCTAGCCATCTCCGATGACACCATGATCAGTCTTTCTACGAGGCGGACTTCCTCCTCACCGGTCAAATATCTTTGTATCGCTGAACACATATCCACGCATCGTTCACAGAAAGTGGGATCCGAAGCGTCCTCGAATCCCTTGCGTTCATGGTCCATCGCAGGAGGCGCCTCTGCTATCCAGAAGATGCAATGTCAAGCAGCAAAGACGGTGTACCATAGGAGAGAGTTGGATCTGTGTCGTAGCATCGCGCGCCGTCATGAATGGGGAAGAAGGTCTTGGAAATTTCACAAATTTATGAGGCACCGAAGAGGAATTAAGATCAGACAAAATGTTGTAGCTTGGAGGGCAGGCTGGCAACTGAGGAGGCATTAGGCTACAGCCTACGAAGACCGATAGGCGTAAGTCCACGTGATTCTTATCTTGCGCTTCTCATTGGTTTGATGCCTTTTCCCTGTGGCGAACACCTACGACGTATAACGCATACCTTTCGTCTGCTTTCCCAAGGTCGAATATCTTAAAAGGAGCCGCGGACTGTCTGTTCGACTTGTGTGCGCCCGCTCTATGAAGACTCGCTTCCATTTTGGAGGAAATAGAACGTCCTGCTGTTCCTCCATATCGATGCATGGCAACAAGTTAGCGATATCGTGGTGTAGCACATAATAGTGTGGTTTGCAAGCTGCAAAAGACGAAAGCGTATCAGATAGAGACATGTTGATATTCTCAGTGCCTGACCTCGCCACTGGACCCTCATGCAGGTGGTAGGTTGAGAACAGTAGCTGGGCGGCAAGTGAGGAGTCCCTGTCTCCTTAGGTCTCCAGTGTACTAACCGGATTATGCCTGTATAGCGTACGCACTTCCCTGGCTCTCATCGGAGTATTTTCCGACGCACGTGTGCAAGAAGGGCCGACCCATGTTGACATGACAGATAGGAAGGAGTGGGTAGTTTGGTGGGTACGGAACGAAACTAGGTCAGCATGTCAGTCGGAGCCATATCCACTTTTCTAGTCACGTCAATGCATGATCGAGGCACCACCCGTCTCTGGAGCAAACGTATTTCATTGACGACTTTTTGATCCCTTACGGGCAGGCTCTAGGCACACAAGTCCCGTAAGGTACACACACACCCTATCTCTAATCTATGCTTTCTCCTTTAAACAATAACACCTCGAAATGCAGTGAATGACGCGACAAACCCTTAAGGTTCAAGAAACAAGTTAACATATACACTGAAGCCAAATATGACCCACACGGTCTAATCTGCGCTGCACTCTCGTAAGGAATCCAGCCGATGGTCCCATGAAACTCTGCTTTGTGTTGTCGCCTGCATCTGGCGAGTTGTGTCTAATGCTTTTTTTGATGATAGGAAAGGAAATCGTAATTGCCGCCATATGTGGTCGTAACGCCTTACGTGCCAGTTGGTCGCAAGGTTGGCTCCGGAAACTCCGATGAGAATGCATAGCCCAGCTGAGTTCGACTTCTGCTGGGTAAAACTGCGAAAATTTTGTTGCTCTAGTGATTTTGGTACTTGATCGATGATGTAGACCTTGATGATATATTGATGATACTTTGTAGTGGAGCTGTACTGTGGCATGAGTACCACGTTTGGCTTTCTGTTGGGTTTGATGCTTGATGACCGTTTCTGGTGATGGAATTGAAATGAGCGATAGCGCTCAGAGCTCGTCGAGGGGCGTGAAAAGACGTTTCATGTTAAGCGTCAAGTCGGCAATAGCGTAGTCGTCGGCGATAGCAACCATGTCACCGATCTCGATGCCTTTCTGCGCGGAGTCTGATGCAATATAATGCCTGATCTGTTTCAGAAGATTGAATACATGTCGGCAGCGAACATCGGGAGGTGCAGCCCAGTCCTCTGGCCGAGACTGCCGCAGGAAAGCCTGAGCTAGGAAGTAGAAGTGGATTCCGTCTCGGCAGAATCCACGGCGACGCTGGTTCTGTGGAAACTGAGTGGCGAGATCCTTGTCCCAGCACGTCTTCCATAGCTGGAGCGCACCGACCGTCGAACGAAGGTTGTTTTGAACTTGTTCGTTGACCCCATTGGGTGGTGTGGCTGGACTGTCGCCTTGAGATTGAGGCGTGCTTGTACCGCTTGAACACACTCGCTGAAGCAGCTGATGCTGAATGTTGTAGATTTGGGCATGAATCGCGTGAATGAGTACTGGAGACGATGTTAGAATGCTGTTTTCAAGCGACAACAGTAGATACTTACTGAACTTTCCAAAGACATTAGTAGCCCGCTCAGGAAATTGACCCGGGCAGGCTCCATTGAGTACACATAATGCCTCGCGCATTGCTAGTTGCTTTGCGCGTCTGCTCCCTGATTCGTTGCTCATTTGCGCCGATGATCCTCTTAGACCCAAAGCACTGGCGCATTCTTCTGAAGTCTTCGCTTCCCAAGCTGCGTCATCTGCAGGCAAAGGCACTGTAATACTTTTGGCGTCAAATCTGGGCTGGGTGTTGAAGAATATGGTGGAAGAGGCATCAATGAGGTAGATGTATGCTGCCAATCGAGTTCGTTTTTCGTTCTCGATCCAAGCTTTCCAGTTCCATGAGTCGACCTCGGCGCCTGTGACTGGTCCTGGCTGATGCAACGCGCTCGCGTTCGGGTTGTCAGAAGAAAGAGGTTGGAACAGTGCTGCGCAACGTGTAACGCTGGCCACCCCCCGAACCTCGTCTCGCACTTGCTGGCGTTGTTGTTGAGACCCGTGCCAGAGGAACTGGGAATGTAGAAGAACCAGTGCTTGAATCTCTTCGGTAGTCGCTGTCAGCTCCTGATTCAAGTCGGCCATCTGGTGCGCTTGCGCTAATTCGTAGACGTGACTAGATTTCAGCATACTCTCCCGAACACGATCCATCAGCCATCGAACATCCGAGGGGCGCATTCGGTCAGAGTACACGGCGCCAACACAGCACATGGCCAGAACAAGCCCATGGTTGGCGGAAAACGGATCAAATGTTGCAACGTGTATCAAGGGCCAGTGTGATTGATAGTGTCTGTATTGGTGTAGGAATTCCTTTACGTTGTCGCCAGTCAAGATATTTTTCAGTCTTTCGTAGGCGTGCGCCTCGTCTGAGTGTTGATTTGAAAGCAGAGACGCATTCGGAAAGCAAAAGTTCAAAAGTGATCCTGCCAGGGCGTGCAGAGGATCAGACGTGGATTGGCCAATGAACCAGTTGTCAAGCATCGGGGAAGAGTCGGCCAAACCCGGAACATGCGAGTACAGTCCAAACAAAGTATCATGTGGTGTATCATCTGAGGTCTAAAAGTTCCGGTCAGAACTGGGCCGATTTTTGAAAGGTTGGGCCACCTGCCGTACTGGAATTATTCATATCGCCGTTGAACGATCCGTTCCGCCACAGTGAGCCATCCTGGCCGTTGGGCATGCCATCCACGTTAGGCAGGGTCGAGACTCCTCCGTAGGAAGCAGGGTCGGCAGCCTCGCTCTTGACGGTCATGCCATTCTGCGCCATCGAACCATTTGTAGAGGCGTGGTCATAGTTGTAGTGGGAGTTTGGATCGGATCCGTTGGCAGTGGGCTGGGGCTGCTGTTGCTGTTGTTGCGCATAGCCATTGGGAACGCCATCCGGGCGGTAGTCGTTGAAGTTCATCCTGTTGTTCGCAAAGTCCATAGCCGACATGCTCCTGCGATGCGCGCTGTCCTCGACTCCGCTGCTAGGGCGCATCAAGCTGTTGGAACGAGATGTGCGCGCAGACATGGTCTGGTGATGGTTGGCAAGCGAAGGTAGGCTGTCGTTGAAGCCATTGCCGCCCATCGCAGGCATCTGAGGCAAACCCATAGTGTAACCTCCAGCATCAGCGTAAGACATAGAATTAGCACCAATGTGGTTAAGGTACGAGTTCTGGTCTGCGCCGCTGGGCTGCCTGTTCTTCTGCAAATGCTGCTGCGCGTGCTGGAGGTGGTTCGCGCCGGTTGGGTTGCCCCTTCGTATCGAGCACTTTTGGAAGTGGCGCTTAAGGATATCACTTCTGCTGAAGGTGTCCTTGCAGAGATGGCACTGGTAGGGTCGTTCACCGGTGTCTGTGGGACGTTAGAGGCGGAGCTTGATTGGATGGGAGATAAAACTTACGTCGCAGCAGATGGCGCTTGAGATGCTTCAGATGCAGGTACGTCTTGTTGCAGTGAGGACACTCATACTTGCCCTCGGCGTTCTTGGTAGCAGTAGTGGGCGTCTTGCCTGCAGCTGGCGCGGGCCTACCGGGGTGTGTAGGCAATACTCCGCGACGACCTTGCTGGCCGACGACGTGCACAGGCTCCGGCTCCTGGTTGGGGAGCACAGGAGGGTGGGCGTACATGGACGCGTGTCCCAATCCTCCCATGCCAGGAGGACCGCCTAGTTGGTGGCCGTTGGTATGCGCAGATGCTGTGGACAGCATAGGCGCCTGCGAATAGGCCGAAGACATAGGCAGGTACGAGCTCGGCGTGGGTTGGAGAGGTCGCAGCGGCGGGTGCTGCAGCGGTGGCATGGTGGAACTGCCATTGGCGGCAGAGGTCACAGGCGTGTGCGGCGGCTGGGGCGTGTGAGGGTTGCTATTGTGGCCGTACAACGGGTACTGGCCGCCACTCTGCAGAGGCGGCAGTGTGGGCAGCTGGTTTTGAGAGCCATTGTACTGCTGTTGGCCTATTGATGGGTAGTTGCTAAGGCCAGGTTGGCGGAAGCGATCTGTAGAGTCCATGATGAAGTTGTTGGTGGGTCGAGGGTGAGTGAAGTGATGGGGAAGGCGCGACCAATTGTTGATCGTGAAGGGACCATTCGACGGAGCTTAGAGCGGAGTAACGTCTGCAAGGCTGGCTAAGCACACCACGAGGCCGTTAGACGGACGTCGGGATGGAGTAACGATGGGCCACGAAGAAGCTTTACAGGTGGAGCCGTGTGGGGGACTGAGATGGCCAGTCGATACGCGTCGGCGGGTACTCCACGGATGGGTGGAAATAGGAGCCCGCTGTGGGTGAGTTTGAGAGAAGATGGGTAAGAGGGGCAACGGTGTGGAATTGGAAGAGGTGACCGGTGACGATGGAATTCTCGTAGCTGGACTAGCAAGAAAGTTGCGGCGGTGGTTTGCCTGGCTCGCGCGGCAATTCACGCGAAGGGACAAGGGACCTGCTGCAGATCGGCGGCCCACACACCCTTCAGCCTCAGCCGATTGATTGCGGATAGACCAAGTGGAGAGCTGTAAGCACGAGACAGGTACGGTAGACCCACGACAGGAGTGAGGTCTGTTGGGGAGCTTTGGGGGAGGGGAGAAGGTGGCTCGGGGTAGAGATAGCGGTCGGCGAAAAAAATATGCGAGTGCTGCTGGGAGAACTTCCGCTTTCCGCACCACGTAATTCCTGTTTTGTTTCCGCGCTGCTGAATGCCGGAGCTTGCCGGACGTTGATAGTGAGCAGATATGGCTTGAAAAGAATTATGTGGGTGGGTGATTTCTGCGAGGAGGCAGGGGAGGCGGCGGACGCGCAAGAGATTTCTCTGAACAAGGTCTTGTCGCGGCAAGCGCGTCGGGATGCCTGTGCAGCGACGTTACAGAATTTAGGGCGGGAGTAGTAGGTGAAGACAGTGGGAGAGATGCAGGACCATCTCGAGACCCCGACTACCTATTTCCGACGCACACGTGATCACGAACTTTTAGACTTTTCGCATACGTGATGTTCCCTACTGTGTGCACTGCATTGGAGCGCGTATGCACCGCCCGTTGGAAAAAACTATTACCAATGACGACAGCCGTTCGTGTACTAGCGGACGAGTATCCAATTGCATGCACATGCACAGATGCCTTAGAATCCCAGTCTACGCGCTGGCCGGGCCCTTGAATCGTGCGCACCTCCGAAGGGTGTATGGAAGCGTATCATAGCCCTCGCAGCTGTGCCCCCGACCTCGTCCATTACCATGGTCCCAGGAGTTTCACGCACGCCACTGCCTAGCAATCGATAAGAGCAAGAGCCTCATTCTACATACTACGGTTGCCTGCCCCCGTCTTTGGCTGTTTCGAAGCTCATTTCCCAGACCCTGTAGTTCCCGTGGTACGTACCAGTTGCTCGTACGTACCGTCGGCGCACCCTTAGTCTGAGTGACTTGTCAGAGCCACCGGATCGGTAAGGCCAGCGAGCCAGGAGCGCAAGCAAGCAACTCATCCGAGCATCGACCCGACAAAGGCCGAGCTTCACTTCGCGTTGGCGGCTGTGGCTTGCTGGGGTGTTATATCCGTCTATGAAACCAAGCGCGTCCGGTGAGCTCCATGGATGTTTCTGCATCGCTCATCCAGCGTTTCCCATTGTCGCAGCACTCTGCTCGCCATTTCTCAAATGCTGGGACGCGGGCGGGAGCGGCTGGGCCAGAGGCATCTGGCAACCGCCGAGCTTGAGGTAAAAAGTTTCGTGAGCGTGACGTATGGCCGACCGGAAGCGGGCTAGCGTGCAACCAGGATTCCTAGACGGCAGATTGCAACGGCGTCCGCTAAATCTTCGGCTCGCCAGATCCTTCGGCTGTGCAACCCTCGAATGAAACCTCACGTCTTGAAACAGCTCTTCGAGAAGGATGCACTGGAAGGTCGAGGCGCCGGGGCATTCAAATCGAAACAACACATGCTGCAGCTCTACAGATAACTGCAATGCGCGACTTGTTGGCCGTGATCGCCCTAAGGCGAATCTTGTTGAATACCTCTCGTCCAGTCAGCTTACGTATCGCGACTTGTGACGCCGCTAGCGTCTTCTATCACGATGCCGCTCGGCCTCGTAGCTGACGGCCACTGACACTCAAAGCGGCATTCCGGATGCTGGTGCTGACTCGATTACACGCTCCAGAAGTGACACGCATCCAATGCTTGCCAACTCACTTCCTTCATAATTGTCCTGGCATCTGGCTAGTCCGCTCTTGTGCTGCCGTGCATATCCTGCATCCGTCTGCCTCTTCTCCAACGCGTAACATATTGTCAAGAGCTTCGTGTGCACAAAGGCCCTCCCGCGGTCTTCGCTTGAGAGCATCCGATCTTTGCGTTGCATGCTTGGCAAAGTACAACGCGACCTTTTGCGGAAGAAATTGCCGAGGCTTGCCAGCGACTGCACGGCGAGATGGTTGCAGAGAAATTTTCCTCGGCAAGCGGCATGCTGTCACAATGACTGATTGCGCGATACGTGTGGTTGAAGTCAGACGGGCGCCCTGGTTTACCAGAGTGCCGTTAGATCCAGATGAACCCAACCCCACGTGTTGTACACTATCCCACATCGCTCTTGTGTATCAGAACTTCCGGCATGCCAGCATTTCTTGCAGCTTGCGCCAGGCCGCCGACGCGACACCGTGCGCGCAATCGCTCTCAGGGTTCCGACGATACCGCTAGGCGTGCTAGGTGGCCGCAAAAACCCTCTCCGTACGCGCAATGCTCATGAAATACTCGCACTGCGAATACGCTCTGCATCGTGGAAGTTGGAATAAGCTCCAGTCCCACTTGCGGTTGCGCTCCCGAATCTGGGTGTGGATGATACCCGAAGGTGGGCATCAAAGTGGGCTGTCCGCTTGACGCGCTGCAGTGATTCCCAAGACGGCAAGACCAGCGACATACAGGCGGGATGTCTATGTCGTGCAGCAGGCTCTGACCCGCCAGGCGCGTCGTGGCTTGATCATCATGCACATGATGAGTTTCAACCTCCTGTCTTGTGAGGTCACGCCGCCGAGAGAAAGACCGGTGAGGCGTTGGGACAGGCTTCCGACGTCGAGATAGCGTGTTGGCCAAGTCATGGACGGGGGTCTTTGACCGGACGAATATGGTACTGTCCGCCGACTGGTGCAAGCGGATGTGCGGTTCCGATGCAAAGAAGGGCTTGGCTACGAGGTGCCTCCGACTCGTTACGAAGACAGTCCTGAAGGAGCAAGGCGACGTCTGGTACGCACCAAGGCGATGCTTCTAGCTGATACACGATAGTGAGATCATCGTGGTGTGTCTGGTAAGCTCCACAGCGATACCGCCGTTGTAGATATGCTTTTGCTCGTTAGTGCGACCTCGCACGAACGGCGGTACAATGCGGTACGCGCTCTGACATTGATCCCGTCTCTTTGTCTCGTCATAACTGCCTACGGGGCGATTCGTGTAATTCAGCTTGAGAGAGCCACTCAACGGGTGGTGTTGAGCTTTGGGGCGTGCCAGAGAAATTGTTTGACAAATTAGGTACGACGAGCCATTGTATGCTCAAGGTCATGGCTGTCTTGTTTGGGAGTACCGTAACACCGCATCATGGCACGTAAAAGAGTACCAATCGAGAAGGAACGCGGTATAAGTTGCAACGGTGTACTTCGCCTTGAACATTTATCTTATATCGGAAAGTTGGAAATAATTGCGGAGACGCATACCTGGGTCTAAGTATACTGGGTTGCGCTTCCTCCGACAGGGCTGTAAGCACTCAATTTTCGGGCAGCAAGACAACTAGTACTATGTGGTAATAGTCTACAATTCTCATCGTCATGTGATAAGAGGAGGTAGTGATTGCCATCTATTGAATATATCGACCTTGACGTCAGAGTTCCTGCGCAGCTTGACGGCGGCCTTGCAGCATCCTATACTCTTGCTGTGGTGATTCAACGTCAACTACACTACCAATACACTGAGCGGAGCGGGATGAGTTTTGTTTTCTGCTTCCCTGCAGCGGGAGCAACAGTATGCTACTGCATGTGGTGATCGTAGTGTTGCAACGATCTCGCATTTTGTGGTCCTCTCGGGCATGCTAAAAATCTTCCAAAAAGCACAACTACAGACGTGCGATACGCGCAACCATGCTCTAAGTGATCTGAGATACTCCTGTCTGGTGCTGTTCTTTCTAGTATACTTTTACCTGTCAGCGTTTGGTGATGCGTGAGATATGATTTTTTGTATGTTTGTGGTAGAGCTTTCTAGAAGCAAAAATGGAAGTTTCTTCGAACATCGTAATAGACATGAAGAATACACATAAACCAAGTGCCAACTTTCTTGAACCCATCGAAAAAATCCATGAGATCAATACGAGCAGTATCACAAGCCTTGCGCACCCGCTCCACTACGACTTTACAGACTCCACGAATACTCAACACTCGTGTCCCCCACAACATCCACTTACCAACTCGCGCCATGTCAGACTCCACCAATTTCGTCAACCAGGCAACCCCACAGAACTCCCAGGGCCAAGAAGCATCGGAATCGAACAAGACTCCACTACCCCTTCCAGCACCTACAGCAGAAGATGGTGTCACGCAAGTCAATGTTGGTGGTCAAGCGGTAAAGCTAGACCACATGGGCCCTCTGGTAGTCAACAAAGATGGCACCCTGTCGCGAATTTCAAACTGGAATGAAATGGCGGATATTGAGAAGCAGAACACGTTGAGGATCCTAGTCAAGCGGAACCAATTAAGGACAGAAGCTTTGAAGGAGCAACAGGGAGGAGAGGGAGGGGGAGCTTAAATTCATAGGGACGTCACAGATGGAAAGCACATATATCTTGTACGGTAGCCGAATGGTGATGGAGCCTCACATGCACAAATACAATGTTTGTTCTTCTACTATCTACATGCTTTGGTGAGCGACGCGAGTCTATGGCTTCTGTGTCTTTGTGTGTGTCATGCGCTCAAAGTAAGACCATTGGCCTTCTGGCGCAGGCTCCTCGAGTGGCTCCCAACTGCGGCATGTTAGCTGTAGTCCAACACTAATAATAGATGTTACTTACACCTTGGCCTCGGTCATGACGTCAACGAGCTTGTGCTCGCCCTCAGCGACCTGAATGACTTCTTCAATCAGGCCCGCGCCAAGTCTGCTCTCAAGGTCGGAAATACTATACAAGTCAGTAATGGAGTCGCCACCAGTTGCGGCTTGGTGAAGAAATACGCTTCGGCAGTGTACTGCGGCTCGGGATCAAACTTGATGTCGTTCATTACCCGCTCAGGCGTGTAGTTGACGTCGCCCTTCATCTTCCTCGCATGGGGCAGTCGCTCTTTGGACGAACGAATACCCTCGGGGAAGGTCTCGATCTTCTCTCCGTCCCACTCGGCTGCTTTCGACCGTTCGTCAACCTCAGCCTGGTTTGGGATTACGATGGTTTGTCCGGCTGATGTGTCGAGGACCTGGTATCTGGTTGGGTCGTCGCTAACTTGCATGGCGATCTTTTGCTGCCACTCGTCCCATCCCGCCGGCTTGGACTGCTCGATGATGGCAAGACGGTGCTTCGTCAGGGCCTCGGTTGATTGGCGGTATACGGATGATTCGGGAATCTTCTTGAGCTTGTCGAGAGTCGAGTGGTAGTGGTAGAGCAGTGCGGAGCGCGGCGACGGGTGGGTGAGGAGCCCTGTGAGACCCGTGGGAGTGCCGGCCTCAAGGAACTGGCCAGGCTTGACGCTGGCGAGGAGACGTGCAGCTGCCCTCATGTTGGCGGGAGTGTCGAGTGTGGGGTTGGGGCGCAATTGGTGCTTGACGGTGGTGATGCCGTCAGGACGAAGATGCGCCCGCCAAGCGATATGCAGCCGGAGCGGCGATCCCTGGCTAGTAATGTTCAGGGACACGAATGCCCTCACTTGCGCGCGACAACCCCCCGCCACGCCTTGTGATAGCCAGGTTGCGTGTAATTTCTACAAGCCTTAGTCGCATTCACTTCCAAGCCTGATACATAATACCAATCTTATTCCTCTCTAGAGGACCGCTGCCTCGCACGAGCAGCCCGCCCCCTCCGCCGCCGCAACGATGCGCTCCATGATATATTCCCTCCTGTCGCTGGCGACGTTTGCTTCCACATTTGCGGCAGAGACCCCGACTGCCCAGGCGACGGCTAAGAAGGATGACTGGGACGACAAGACGCCAGACACGATATTTAATGGCGAGACAGTGCCTCCCATGATAGAACTTGGGCCCAAAACGATAGACACCGAGATCAGCAAAGGCAACTGGTACGCAGGGAGACATCTTCATCCTGGAAATAATGCTAACGACACCATAGGATAGTCGAGTTCTTCTCCCCCTACTGCAGCCACTGCATGCACTTCAAGCCAACCTACCAAACCACCTACGAGTTCTACTACACCTCGAAACCCTTCCTCTCCAAAGACGAGCCCGAAGGCGACTCCCTAAACTCCTTCACGCGCTACTATGACTTCAAATTTGCCAAGGTTGACTGTGTCGCCTACGCTGATGTCTGCAAAAAGCACAACATTCAGAGCTACCCTACCATGGTCTACTTCCAAGACGGAAAGGAGTCGGAGAGAGAGACGGGCTCCAAAGACATGAAGGGCATGAGCTCCTGGGTTGAGAGACTCCTGGAGACTCTGCGACCCGGTACACGCAAAGAGGGTGGCCCCAAACTGCCAAAGGCTGGTGCAACATCCGTAGAGACCGGCCCAGACACAGAGGAAGCTGTCAAGGAAGAGAAGAAAGAGGCGGCTCAAGACAAGAAAGAAGATAAGAAAGCTGCGAGCCCGGCCACCAACCTGACCCCATCCGCCACACCCTCTCTCACCAAGACGACCAAGGCCGCTCCCGCAAAGACCGAACCCACCTCGAACGCGAACCCATCTGGCACCGTCGAGCCCCTCACCGCCGAGACGTTTGAGAAACTTGTTACAGACACACGCGATCCCTGGTTCATCAAATTCTACGCGCCATGGTGCCATCACTGCCAGGCTCTTGCGCCGACATGGGCAAACCTCGCGCGCCAGATGAAGGGAAAGCTCAACGTTGGAGAGGTCAACTGCGATGTAGAGAAGAAGTTATGCAAGGCAGCTGGTGTTCGAGGCTACCCAACCATGCTCTTCTTCCAAGGCGGCGAGCGCATCGAGTACTCGGGTCTCCGTGGGCTTGGCGATCTGTTGGATTATGCAGAGAAGGCCTCAGCTGTTGGTGCTGGAGTACGTGACGTAAATGCCGAGGAGTTCAAAAAGATGGAAGAGACTGAAGAGGTCATCTTCACCTATTTCTACGATCACGCGACCACATCCGAGGATTTCCAAGCGCTAGAGCGACTTCCTCTCAGCCTTGTCGGTCGCGCAAAATTGGTCAAGACAAATGACAAGGAGCTGTTTGACCGCTTCAAGATTTCAACATGGCCGAGACTGATGGTGTCAAGAGACGGAAAGCCTACGTACTACCCACCTAGGACACCTTTCGAAATGCGCGATGTCAAGAAGGTCCTTAGCTGGATGAAGTCTGTCTGGCTGCCTATCGTCCCCGAGATGACGTCTTCCAATGCTCGCGAGATTATGGAAGGCAAATTTGTCGTTCTAGGTATACTGAACCGCGACCGTTCCGACGAATTCATCCTCTCTAAGCGTGAGTTGAAGAGCGCAGCAATCGAATGGATCGATAAGCAGGAGACCGCCTTCCAGCTAGAGCGACAGGAGCTCCGCGATGCTAAGCAACTCCGCATTGAAGAGGCTGAAGACAAGGACAATCAGCGAGCACTTAGGGATGCCAAATCTATCCGCATCAACATGGATGACATCCCGCGCACTCAGGTTGGTTTCGCGTGGGTCGACGGTATCTTCTGGGAACGCTGGATCCGGACTACATACGGTGTCGATGTCAAAGATGGCGAGAGCGTTATCATCAACGATGAAGATGTAAGTCACCAAAACCGGCCCTATATGAAGCCTGCTAACATACGCAGAACCGTCGTTACTGGGATAGCACCATCTCTGGTGAACCTATTCGTCTCTCTCGCGCCGCAATCCTTGAGACCATCAAAATGGTCACTTCAAACCCTCCCAAGATCGCGGCCAAGTCTACCACTGGTCGCATTGCTGGCATGTGGCTGTCGATTCGCCACTTTGTCAACAATCACCCTTTCATCTCCCTTGGCATGTTTGTGGGTTTCTTTACTGCTGCTACGTTGTTTGGCAACAGCAGACGAAGGAGACAGTTTGGCAGTACCGGCTCATACTTTCAACTCGGAGAGAAGGATGGGCTACTAGGCAGCATGGGTAATGGCAACTTTGGAGGCGCGAAACATGATTAAGCTTCGAGACAAGATCATAGGATGATCCTTGGGGTTTTGGCGTTCGCTTTGGTGTGTATCATAGCTTTGGTTGCATGGTTTTCAGCGATAACGTTTATTCATTCTGCACCATGTACCAATACGACTTGTTGTTATCAGCATGCCTTCGATTTTGACACTCGAAACGTTTTCCCTGCTTATGCCTAGGCGACATCACGACATTTCCAAGCCTTTGACGTGCTGCATAAAGCCACATTGGAGTCTAGAGCATATACTACGGCATGTCACTTGCAGTTGCCCATTGGGTGGAGAACACACGTGTCTACGCGACGTAGCTCCCCACGCGTACCCCACTACCCCTCCAAACTACTTTCACTCATTCTACGCATTGTGACTCGGGTACACATACCGCACCTTCTTGATACATCAAAGACACTCGCTCACGATATTACAAACTTCAATCTGTATTCTCTCAGGATTTTACGCGCAGCAAAACCTGCCCACCAAATCTCTGCTACTGCGCACCCATATCCTTTCTTCATCCGTCCACTACCTCATCCCACCATTCGCACAATGTCGACTATATCTCTCTCAGACTTGGAGTTCATAACCCGTGAATCCCTCGCTAGCGACTTCAAATCATCAGGTTCTGCGTTACCTCCCAACACCGCAGTAGTTGACGTAAGAAAGCCCTTCCTCCAACAAACCTGCCTCAGGAACCACAACACTAACCTCTCTTCCCAATCTAGGTACGAGACAGCGATCACGTCGGCGGCCACATCAAAGGCTCAACTTGGGTTCCTTCCTCGCAACTCGACTACAAAACTCCTGAGCTCATCCGCACACTACAAGACAAGGAAGTCGTCATATTCCACTGCGCGTTATCGCAGCAACGGGGACCTAGTGCCGCACTACGATACTTGAGGGAGAAGGAAAGACTGGATCCTGGTTCGGCGATAGAGTCAAAGGGCGAAGTCAAGGAGCAGAGTGAGGCTGTGGAGAAGGAGGGAGAGGGAGAGCAGAAGGGACCTAGTGGTACGCAGATCAAGAAACAAAAGGTTTACGTCCTACAGGGCGGATTCACGATGTGGCAGGAGAAATATGGGCAGGACAAGGATTTGACGGAGGGGTATCAAAAGGATATTTGGGAGTTTGGCACACCGGATCATTAGATGTGAAGAACTGAACACACACACATCAAGGTGAGAGGCCTAGCCGTGATATTCTGTTTGAACTACTCAGCAACGGCTACGGCACTTCCACCCCAGTATCCCGCTGTCGAAAACCTACAACATTACATTCTCCACACTCAGCACCCTTTGCTCTTCCCTTGATCCTCAACCAAACCCTTGTAATTCTCCCTCTCATACTCCATGATAGCCTCCACCTTCTTCGCACTAGCACTGCTCTTGTCGAATCGATATCCCACCCACTCCTTGACTAACCTCCTCGCGAGTTCAATTCCAACAACTCGCTCACCCATGCATAGCACTTGCGCATCGTTTGACAGAATCGCACGTTCTACCGAGAAGCTATCGTGTGCTGTCACAGCCCTGATACCAGGCACTTTGTTCGCCGAGATGGCCACACCAAGACCGGTGCCGCAGATGAGGACTGCACGGTCTGCTTTGCCCTCTGCGACGAGTTTGGCGGCATCGACGGCGATATGTGGGTACGCTGTCTTGTCGCTGTTTTCAGGGACGCCGACGTCGGTTACAGAGGCAATGCGGGAATCAGCTTCTAGGTCTTTGATGATGGCCTTTTTGTACGAGACGCCCGCATCGTCGCAGCCAATGGCTATGCGGAGAGGTTGCTGGTCCGCTGACATGTTGCTTTTTAGAGAGATCTCAAAGTTCTGAAGTGTCGTATTTTCTCTCGATATTCCTTCTCTTCGTCTTACTAACGACGTTCAACCGACTCTTCTCCCTGTCTTCGTCGTCTGTGTCCTGATTTCGTCTAGAAGTACCACCACTTCGTCTTTCAGTTCTAGTTGTCGAATACGATATTTCTCCTTCCGCAGACTTGACTTTTCTTCCGTCAATAACCTCGTTAACGGCTCGATTAACAGTCTTCTCAAACGGCCTCGTCACGTAACTCAAATCCGTGTGTCCGTGAGTGGGTCCTTTGCTTTCCAAGACTTTAACTCTGTCTACACCGTCCTTGTTGTGGTCTTCGACTTTTTGGTATACGTGGTCTGCGTCAGTGTCGAGGTTCAGAGAGAACAAGGCGCGCTTGGGAGGGGCCATTTTGGGCGGGCTGGGTAGACGAGAGTCTTTTATACGATTTGGCAGAAAGGTAATATGCAAGGGCAAGGCGTCTGGGCGGCGATTTCGGATGAATGAGGGGTTAAACAGACGACCCGTGGAGGGAGTGGAATGCTGGAGATGCGGGATGCGGGGATCGGGAGTGCCCAATGCGGTATGCCGATGGGTAGAAGTGTGAGACTTGTGGCCTCGATGCGAGATGGCGACGGGACGAGGTATACCGGTCTCGGGGTTGTGAGGCCGAAGTTTTTGTCTCGGTGGTTGTTCCGAGTGTTGAAAGTGATGGTCGTGGTTTTGGCATTCTAGCATGTTCAATAACTTGTTGGCATGCCAAGATGTGCCAACGGATTACGTCACATTACATTTCAGAATCTACACGCTTTAGCTGGCACTTGATTGATGCTCTCGGATGGTCAAAGCTATCTAAATATCTTGAAATCCATGTGTCGTTTTTCGAATTTCTGTTTTTTCCCTGTCCAACACTATTTCTTCTCTTCGAACAAATCCTTCTCAACCATCTGCCTACAGATTGGGTGGTAGAACTCCTTGTTCTTCTCAAATGTGCTGACAGCCAGATCGCGATCCGCCTCGTTTAACAACCTGAACATGGGTCGCACAAACTTCATACGACCAATCTTGCCTAGCAAAATCGCTGCTGGCTCGTACGTCTCTTGGGCCTTGGCCATGAGTCCGATACTCAGGTAGCGTGATAGAACTTCAATGTTCTGGGTGTCGTTGTAGCCATACGTTGCGCCTAGCAAGTGTACTTGGTCGGCTGAGAACTTGGAAGCGAAGTTTTGGAGTTTTTCGAGGAAGACAACCGACTGGTTAGATACCCAGCCTCCGATATCTGAGGATTGGGGCTTGAAGTCTCCAGATTCGGAAGAAACCAGGGCTTGCCACTTGTCTGCAAGCTCATAGCAACTCTTGACCATAGTCTGGTCAAAGTCTGGCTTCACAGGATAGCCGGGCGCGTAGAAGAGTTTGTCCCAGTCAAAGTCATCAAGCTTCTTCTTGCTCTCAGCATCCTTCTCGAAGAACTCTATCAGACAGCTTTTGAAGTCGTATGAATCGACTGACTTGAACTTGAAGGTGTCGAAGTAGTGTGGGATGAAGGAATCCCACTTGTCCTTTCCGAGAAGCAGTTCAAACTGATAAAGGGCATGGAAACCTTTCTCATAAGGGATGGAGGAGAATGCGTCATCTGGGTCTTGACCCTTGAGATCGAGAACGAGCTTAGTGTAGGGGTGGTCTGCGCCATAGTTCTCGATGCTTTGCTCCAGAGCTTTCCAGCCGATGATAGCAGAGAAATGGCGATGCGCCTCTCCGTGAATGGCAGCAGCAATTCTACGTTCAAGGTAGGTGGTCCAGCCTTCGTTCAGCCAGAAGTGCTCCCAGCTCGCTGCACTGACAAGGTTACCGGACCACGAATGAGACAGCTCGTGTGCGATGACGTCGACGTTTTGCTTGTCACCAGAGATGATGGAAGGAGTAGCGTAGGTCCAGACTGGGTTCTCCATGCCGCCGTACGGGAATGATGGTGGCAGAATGAGTACATTGTATTGTCCCCATTGGTACGCGGGTGAGACAATCGATTCGAGTGCCTTCATGAAAGGTTCGATCTCGCCGTCAAGTTCATCTTTGCACGCAAGGAGCTCTTCGGGTCCAGACCATACCGTACTGCGGGGGCCAATGCTTGCGCATGCTAGATCTCCACTCGCAACAGCAAAAAGGTACACTGTCATTGGGACCTTTTGTTCAAACGTGTATTTCATGGTACCGCTCTCACCGTCCTTCTTCGCAGGTAGATAGTCACTGGCTCCAGTAGGCAGACCCGAGGCAAGCACCGGTAGCGGTGAGCGTAGGGCAAAGCTGAAAGTTGACTTGACATCCGGAGTATCCTGGCAAGGGAAGACAGATCGTGCATGGATGGCCTGGCATTGCGAAAACATGTACGGGTGCTTTTTGTTCGAGGTTTGAGCTGGCGTCATCCACTGAAGTGCGGTACACTTATCGGTAGTAGCGACCTTGATCTCAACATCGACGGTCTTGCCTTTGGGAACCTTGGATGGAAGCGTAATGGTAAGAGGACTGCCATAGGGCTCCACACGATCGCCAACGTTGAACTTGACACTTTTACCCTCGACTTCTACGACGGAGATGTCAAGGAAGCTATGCCACAGTTAGTAAGCTGTTCAATCAATTCTGCCACTCTTTTGTATCTCGAGTACATACCTGCTATCCAATACAACATCTTTCACCTCCTCATCCGTCAGACTCTCCAACGTCAACACTACACTTCCAAACAACCGCTTCTTCTGGAAATCGATATCAAAATCGACACTCGTATGCCTGGTCACAAAGTTGTGATAGTTAGACAAGGTGTTTGGGTCCCTTGGGGTGCGGATCTCAATATTAGGATCCGCCATTGGCTTTGTAACCATAGCGGCGGGGGAGCGATGCATCGTGGCGAACGTTGCTGCTCTCGTAGCTGATGGCGTAGGAGTCTGATTCGACTTCGTAGCTTGGCAGATGGTTCGTCTCCCACTCAGAGCTTGTTGTAGTGCAAGACGAGCGTTCAGTGCAAGGAATGTTGCAGGTGATCGTGTGGTAAGGTATCGTCGGAGTGGAGTAGACTCATATGCCGATCCATGCCGCAGCAAAGCAGATGACCTGCCTAATGCACTTCTGGCGGACATTTAGGGATCTCGCACCCACAATTTAGATAGATAGAAGAAATGACCCGCACAGTATCTAGGGGACGGCGGTGCCAAGGGTCACCACCTGCGTCTTTCGTTTAGCCCATCATTGATGTGGAGGCGCACGGCCTTCGGCGATCCGACGAGAAACTTGTAGTTCCTCCGGAGTGTCTTCGCAACCAAGCTTTCGAGGGGCAAGGTTAGGCACAGAAATAAAATCATCAAGGCGTCTAGATGAGAACTCTGTACATGTGAAGGATATATTGCAGATGCCCAAAAATGCCCAAATGCTTCGATGCCACAAAGCAAGCTATCATACTATGCACGCATATAGCTATTAATACCGTTGACACCTAATTCAATAATGCTGTCTAATCCTTCTTGCTACTGTCGCCCTTTCGTGTCCTGTCTCTCAGGACGAGGTTGATATCTGGTCGTGCTGACTGATATTGCTGTGCTGGTCTTGATACCGAGCGCTCGTTCGTCGATGCAAGCGTCTCTTCCGCCCTCGATCTGCCCCTGTCCCTTTCATCATCTCCTATCTCAAAAGCATCATCTTGGAGCTCTATGAGATCGCCCAGATCGCCGCCGACAGCTCCTACGACAGGCACGGCACTGCGCTTCCCCTGCCCGGGTGTACCTGGCTCATTCAAAAGCTTCTGTGCTTGTGTACCAACTTTTCTCACCCATCCTTCTATAGCACCTCCAAGCTCTTGAAAGTCCAAGCCGCTACCGCTGAGCGGTGTGACAGCACCGGATCCGCCATACTGACTCGACGTCCCGGTACCTGCATCCAGCAGGCCTGGTGCCCACGGTGTGAAGTATTCCTGACCCGGTGGGGGCGCCATGTTGGGCAGGTACTGACCAAACTTTTTGTTCAGACCGTCCTGCGCAGGCCCAGGGCTCCGCACGTTTCTACCCATTGTACCGACACCTCCTGGGCCGTGCAGACCCCATGCTTTGCCTGATGTGCTCCTTTGGCGGCTGTGGGCCGAGGCAGATGACAGGTTGCTCGACGCACGTGGTCGAACAGACTGCGAGGGAGAGCTGGTATGTGGATTCGTGGACGTGGAGGAGCGCGGAAGGTCGACGGACGCCCGAGGTGTTGATGCGTCGGAGTACGCGAGGGACTTCCGCCGAGCGGGTGGGAAGAAGCCAAGTGCTCTGCGTGGCATGCGGCCGATCTGTGTGGGCTGTTTATCATTAGGGAGGAGCACCCATGAATCATGTTTCCATGGGGTTTCTGCATCAGAGGGGACCGAATTGGTCTCTTGGTCTTTCTTTTTCGGCGTGGTCCAGCCATCAGGCAGACCTTGAGTATCTGGAACTGGGGCCTTGCTACTCGAACCATCGCCATACTCTCCCAATAGTAGATCTTCAGCAGGAAGAGCATCCGGGCCCTGAACTGGCCTTCCCTTTACGCCACAAGCATCTACTGGTAGCACCACCTGCTTCTTAAACTGTATGCTATCGTTCGGCCACATACGATTGGCTTTGCGTAATACAGCTTGCTCGCAGTTGAATTTGATGCTGAGTCCAGCCAGCGTGTCCTGCGGCCGAACGTGGTGGATATATACGAGTGCATCTCGGTCGTCGTTCTCACTGGGAGGTGCGGACGCGCTGAGTCGTTCATCCGAATTCCTGCGCTTTATACGGCCAACAGAGTCGGGAACCAGATGCTCGCCAGCGGTCAACAGGTCTTTCCGCTTCATTGCTCTGACCATGGCCTCTCTTTCTTCGTGTGTTCCAGCCCCAACATGCGAGCCTGCGCCTGCCGGGCCCCATTGTTTCGGTGGTGGTGCGCTCGTAGACGTACGTCGCCCATGGCCCGGTTTCGTGCGCCTGCGAGTGTTTCCGGAGTCGCCTGGGGTGCCGTCGCTAGCCAGGACGGTAGCGGCAATACCCTGGATTGCCGCCAAAGAGTTCCCCCAGAGTCCAGAGAGTGTTTGCGAGGGCGATTTCGGGGTCGAGGTGCCGGAAGATCTCTGGAAGGACGACGACGGGGCGGAAGTGACGTTCAGACGCGAGGAGGAAGCGCCGCCTGTGCGTGCATTTGGGGTAGGAGATGTGTTCCGCGAGGCTAACCTCGACGTGGCCCTGCTCGATCCGCTCTCATTCCCGTCCGTTGCATATATGTCATCTTCTACGGAGATCAATCTTCGGGTTCGTGGGCGCAGTGTCGAGTTGCTCTTGGACGTCGACAGCGAGGAGCCATTGGAGGGGTTCATGGCATGCGGACGCCAGGCGGAGTGGGCAAAGGTGGTGCTGCATAAGCCAAATGATTGGAGTGGTCGGGAAGCCGCATGACATGGGGTTACGGCAACATTGCGTGAACGTCAGGAGCAAGGGCGGAGGCGCAATGGAGAGGTGGATGCTCGGATATCGTGAGGGTTCAATAGCTGGGGCAGGAAGCTACGTAACCCCGAGTGCTACCCCTTCAGTCAAGCACGGCCGTGCACTGTGCCGCTGAACCGTCAGAACATGCGATGCCAAGTCACCTAGGCACCATAAAGAAGTCTCACGATAGATTAATATGGATTGTGTACGTAAGTAGTGCACTTTCATCGACTTTCACCGCCCCTCCCGTGGCTGCTCAAACCGCCTCGTGACGATAAGGACAGATAACGATTAGCTTTCACTTCCTGAATCAGGCCGATCACCTAGCGATCTTGGAGGGAACAGGTACTATTCGATGCTCTGAACTACAGACGGTACAGTTTACGCACCACTAAAGAATCTTTGCTCGACATCTGCCAGCTACGAACAGCGCGCATGTACGCGAATAAGCGCCATACGATTCTGTATAACACACGTGGATATATCATCAGTCATCACAATCACAATCAAGATAGCAAAAAGCAACAAACAAGCTGTAGAACAGAACGAGTCTTCACATCCGCTGGCCTGACCGTCATCGGAAAGGACTTGAGCTCGTCGTCGCATCCACCTCTTCAAATTCCAGCTCAAAAGCATCCACTTCCTCAAACTTCTTTCTGATAGCAGCCAACTTCTCCGAGTGCTCGATTGCCGAGACTTCAGTATTGGCTGCTTCGTTCTGGACCGCAGTCTCGTTTTCCTTGTCCGATGATATCCTGCGACTGTATGTTCTGCCCGACTTTTGCGCTACTTTAGCGGGTGCACCCTTTTTCGGGCGAGCTGCTTTCTTTGTCGCTGCCTTTGGCGATACTAACTTTGTAGTCCCTTGCTTTTGGCGAACACGACGTGCTGGCATTTGTAGCTCATCTTGATCCGAGTCCACAGGCTCGACATCGTCTGAAGACTCAATGTCGAACTCATCCCCGTCCCGCAGGCGGTTCCGTCGACGTGGTAATAGGGCTTTGAGTTGCGCAACAGATATAGTTTGCTCTGCTTTCTTTTTGGCCCTCTGCTTAGCTCTCGCAGGTGTCTCCGTCTCCTCGCCTTCTGAGTCTTCATCCACGACGGGCGTCTTAGCTTGTCGTCCTCTTCGGCGCGGTCGCGTCTGCGCTGGTGTTTGAGGCGGCTTCGAGACTTCCCGTATCGGACTACTCGACATGGGGGGCGCAAGTGTCTCGCTTAGTGGCTCCTCATCCTCTTGTGTTTGCTCGATCATCTCCTCGCGTGATGCAACTACTTCTGGCAGGCTCGGGGAGGGTGATCGCTCTGACTCGACATCTTCGCCAGACTGTGGACTCGCTGGTGGTGACGAGCGTGGCACTTGGACTACAGACGAGAACTTGCGCTTTGTGCCACGGGAACCAGAGCTTGAGATCTGAGTGCCGCTATCATTCCGAATCTCCTGCTCCGGTGCCTGCTTCCGTACGTTAAGGGGTGTGGACTCGGCATGCGGAAGGAAATCGTCAAAGTCAAAGTTGTCGGTGTTATCTAGGTCGTCTTGATCGTTGTCCTCCACATCGGTAGTCTGTTGTACCTGGCGCAACAGACTTGGCTGCCGGGGTCTTCGCCTGAAGTTGCTCAAGGCCAGTATCGATCTCTCGTGTGCGGGTGTTGCACCGACCTTGATGGCTGACGGTGGGCGCGTGCCGTGGGCTGGGGAATCAGAACCGAGAGATGAGAATGTCAGATCGCCATAGCCGCTATCTTCTTCTATCTGCGATTCTTCGTGTGCTTGAGCAACTGCAGCCAGTGGTGACGAATGCGCGATCGATTTCCTCGCACTGCTTCTTGTGGCGCGCATCTGCTTTGATGCATTTGATGCTGGAGTTCGGGTCTTGGTAGCTGATAAAGATGTGTTCCCTTCAGCCGGTAGCGCGCCGGTCATGGTGAGCTCTGGCTCGTCATGGACCTCCGGTGTCTTCTCCCGTGGCATTTTCCTATGCGAACGCGTTGATCTGGTTCTTGTGACAAGGCCATCGCTGTCTTCGCTGAAGCTATTGGCAGCTTTGCTGACCTTGGTTTGCGCTGGGGTGGGCTTCGCTGGCTGCTTGGGCGCGGGGGCGTCTTTCGGCTTGGTGGGTTTCGCGACGCGCGACGCGACTTTTGAGCGTGGGGGACGAGGCATTGTCGCAATTCGTCCGCGTGATTATTTTGGGAGGTTCAGAATTGTGTAAAGGCGAACGAATGTGGTCGCGATTGGGATGAAGTGGGCAGCGACCGTGCGACAGCAATGGGGATGAGGCGCGTCGATGTTGTGACGCACTGGATTGAATTCACTACCTAGCGTCGATCTAGACGCGCGAACTCTTGGCTCACGTGGTGCACCATCCCATACGTTAGCTCAAATAGTAGCAGCGCACCTGGAGGAGCGCGATGTGTTTTTCTGTCCTTCTCTCATGAGCGCATCCGAACTAGCGATGTCTTGGTCCTATCAGAGGCCGATGTTTTGGTGAGGTCGCACTCAAGGCAGCGACAATTGCAGCGTATATAGCTGCCTTCATAGTCTGAGAAATCAAGTTGCAACTTCAATCCTTCCGTCTCAACTTCTACCTTATTATTGCTATGGATACGATCAACTTTCCAGATTCTTTGCAAGAGTTTGCAGTGTCTGAAGCAGCCTATCTTCGCCGACACCCCGAGTATGACTGTTTGGTCACAGGTTCAATTGTGTTCAACGAGGAAGGGAAGCTACTGCTAGTACAGCGTGCAGCGGAGGAAAGAGCATTTCCTGATCTCTGGGTGAGCCGACGAGGAAGTCACGACTGTCCTAGAACTAATACTATATAGGAGATACCAGGGGGCAAAGTTGACGATAGCGACCAGACGATTCTTCATGCTGCTGCTCGAGAGCTGAAAGAAGAAGCTGGTCTTGACACGATTCGTATACTGAAGAAAGTCACGCATTTTATCTTCGTGGATGAGAAGCCTGGCCGACGAACAACGACATGGCTCAAGCTGGTGTTTGAAATGTCGGTGCAAAGCGCAGATAATGTTGTCTTGGATCCAACTGAGCATCAGAGGTTCTTATTCGCTTCTGAAGATGAAGTTGTTCGTGACCAGGTCGGCGATGTGAAGCTCAGATACATCAGTCCTGCGAACAAGGATGTCAAATTGGAGGCTTTCAAGCAAAGACGTGGAGAAGGATGCGCGTGACAGGCGTGGGCGATCAATGGAGCATGATATGTTGTCTCGCTTTACTGCATTTGAAACTGGCGACTGCCACCAATAGGAGACGACCCATATTGACGGAGACGCGACCTGGGGTAAGTAGGCTGAAGGATCACGATTCTACCTAGCAACAAAGAAGAGATCAATGACGCCAACGTGACCTGGCGTGGAAGCAGCTCAGCTTATGTAATTGTGTAACATCGAGCCTCTGGGAAATTGTACTTGTCAAGCAGGAAAAAGCACTGTTTCGTGTGTCGCAAAGGTAATCACTGCCTTGCCGTAGCCTCCCGTACCCGGCGCCCGCGCTAGTTCACACTGTGTGTGCCCCAAGAACACGACCAGTTGCGGACGAATCACAACCTCAACCCTCGACGACCGCGCCAGAGAGCTCAGCGACAGCAGCATGTCGGGCGAACACTCTTTCATGGCCAGTTCAGTGGCCACAGCAGCAGCGCCTCCACCGCTCGCTGCGCAACCCAGCATTGGGACTCCGTAGGTTACAGTGCCGCGCGCAGGACCTCTTGCACATGCTCATACAAGCCAGGCCGTCGGCGTCGTCGCAGTCAGTTCCCCCTGGACACCCATCCTTCAGGCGACAACGCGCTAGCAGAGCGTGCGAAAGTGAGTGCGACCCATGTTTGCGCAGCATTTCCCCTGATTTCATGTACGAGAGAGGATCCGTCGACGTCGGTGGGATATATGGTCAACACGACGAGCCTCGGCACCTCGGTCAACCTGAAGAAACGGAACGATTCGACGAACGTTTGCTAACCACGACGCAAAACAGCCTGCCACGCAAGGAAAGTGAGTAATCAGCCGCGGCACCACATCATCGTCGTCGTCGGGACACCACGTAACAGCGCAATAGGTACGATGCGACGCCGCCTCACTGGGAATCCCGTGCACCAACTGCACCACCTTCGGCATCGAGTGCCGCATTCCCCAGCCCAAGCGCAAGAAGACGCAGACAGCCAGGGCCAAAGACGCCGATAGGTACGGCCAGACGACTTCACTGGTCAAGGTATAGTGCTGACGCGACGGCAGTGACCGAGGAGATAGCGACGACCGCTCACCAGCCAGCACTTCAGTCGAGCCGCGCGAGAAGTCGGCCGTATACAACTCCCAAGATGGAACACCCTCGACTACCGTCTCGCCCGAATACGCTGCCCAGCAAGCTACTCACAATGGCACCTATGTGCAATTCATGAAGCCCAAATTTGCGCGTGCCCCCATTAAAGAAGCCGGCCGCGTCGCATACCTTGGAGAATCATCCAACCTTTCACTGCTCGTACACGACCGCTATGGCACCACCGATGTTGTCCACTATCCGCTTCCAGAAAACGTGCGGGGTGCGAAGGCGCGGGTCAACGAGATGGACAACATGGAGATAGAGATACTGCACCAGCGAGGTGCCTTCCTGCTCCCGCCACGGGCGCTGTGCGACGAACTCGTCGAGGCCTTCTTCAGATGGGTGGCCCCAGTCGTGCCAGTCATCAATCGCAGCCGCTTCATGCGCCAGTACCGAGACCCGAAGAACCCGCCCTCGCTCCTCTTGTTACAGGCTATTCTCCTGGCAGGCTCACGAGTGTGTACCAATGCGCAGTTGATGGACTCCAGTGGCTCAACAACCCCCGCAGCCATGACCTTCTACAAGCGCGCAAAGGCCTTATACGATGCTAACTTCGAGGATGATCGCGTAACCATCGTGCAAGCACTCATCCTGATGGGCTGGTACTGGGAGGGGCCCGAGGATGTAACCAAGAACGTCTTCTACTGGACCCGAGTGGCTATTGTTGTAGCTCAAGGCTCGGGCATGCACCGTAGCGTCGAGGGTTCACAGCTGACACGCTCAGACAAGCGTTTGTGGAAGCGTATCTGGTGGACACTGTACAGTCGAGACCGTTCAGTGGCAGTAGCACTAGGCAGACCGGTTGCCATTGACCCTGAAGACTCTGACGTTGAAATGGTATCTGAAGACGACTTCATCGACGACGAGACAGACCATGCTGCAGAGTACCCACCAGATCCCATCCATGTCCAGTTCTTCATCAACTACGTCAAACTTAGCGAGATCATGGGCCTGGTTCTATCGCAACAATACTCAGTGGCGTCCAAACACCGCAGAGCGAATGCTATAGATCTTACCCACAGTGACATGGCGCTTGCGGACTGGCTGCAACATTGCCCACCAGAAGTGCAGTGGGAGCGTAACCGCCACCACTTCTGGGCTGCCCTACTACACTCGAATTACTAGTAAGTCACTCGCGACCCAATTCTGACTCACACTTACCCTCGTAGCACCACCCTATGTCTTCTACATCGTGCACATATGCCACCGGCAGGCTCGCCAAAGGCCAGTCATTTGGACGGATTTGGTGAGGCTAATGCATACCCGTCACGGAATATCGCATACCAAGCGGCTGCTATGATTACATCCATCATTGAAAACCTCCGTGCTCATGATGAGATACGGTACACTCCCGCATTCATCGTGTACAGCTTGTTCTCCGCCCTCATCATGCACGTCTACCAGATGAAGTCGTCGAACAAGTCCGTCGTCTCGGCGACGGAGCAACGCCTTCAGATTTGCTTAGACGCTCTTAAAGAGGTCTCCAAGGTCTGGCTCGTTGCAAAGATGGTGCACACACTTTTTGAATCGATTCTTGGCAACAAGCATCTTGAAGAGCGCCTACAAAAGGCTGCCGGTCGCAATCACAAGAAGAACAAAGTTCCTTCGGTTCCACCACCACCACCTCCAAAACCTGCCCAAGAGTCGTCAAAACGAAAGTTCGATGATATGGACCTAGGCTTCCCTGTTCCTAGTGGACCCCCGGCTGCTCAAGTTTCCTATGAGCGATCAAGACCGCAGACTCCGGCCGTCACGCCGTCGCGCGAGTTACAACCCCAACAACAGATGCCCCAGATGACTACTGGATCTCCGCAGATGAACCGGCAGAATCACGATGCTTTCATGGGCCCTTCACGGTCGGGAACACGCCCGACGACGCCATTCAACCCATCATACTCGTACCCTGGAACGCCACCCGATCTCTTCCTGGTTACCCGCGATACTCCTAATATCAGTCAAGAAGTATGGCAAAACTTCCAACCCGACCAGCTATTCCCAGCCGACACACAAGTCAACTTCCCACAAATGTCGCCCATGCAAAATCATAGTCTCGTCGACCCGGCGTTGAGCCAGCCGCAGAACATGCCCATGCCCTCACAACAGACTGCTGGGGGTCAACCACAGATGCAAAATCCACCATCAAACACGGGCATTCCTGGCGGTTACGAACATAATAACACTCAGTCCTGGCAGCAACAGATGGAGATGATGTCACAAAACCAGCAACAACATAGCGCACAGGATGATGCTTGGAGTCAGAGTTCCGGAGGTCGACCTAATCCTATTGTGCCGATGAGTCTAAATGTTGACGATTGGTAAGTCATAAACTCAATCATGTTCCGACCTATCGACTAACTTCGTGACCTAGGTTCAACTTCTTCGGTATCAACGGCGAGGCCGATATGTCGCACCTGTTCCAGCAAGGCCCAGCTTAGGCTCACAAGTCTATTAGCGTGATTGCTTTACTTGTTTTGTCATCGATCTCTATTCAGCGGAATAAGCATATCAGCGGCGTCGATCAAGTCGTTACATAGGTTTCTGTTTTCAATGTTCAAAAGTTCCAAGGAATGGATGGACGGGCATGCTACGGGACAGCATCTTTCAGCTTAAGTGCTAAATCATCATCCATTTCACCATAAGCTACCATAGTTGCAAAAAGATAAAGTATATTGAGAGACTCAACAATATATCTGAAAATATGTCTGCACTTCTCATATTAAGTTGCGACGCTGGTGTTCAATCGAGAATCCACCAGAGTTTGTGTAATCAATGCGCGGTTGGATCTCTGCCACGGGTAAGTAAGGGAAAGGGTAAGTGATCTGCGTCAACGCTATTTCTACTCTATACGTCGTCATTACAGGTGCAATCATGCGACGCGGCTGCACAGTCTCTATGCTCAGCCAGTGTTCACTCGTCAACCGCGACGGAAGATCCCCCGCATTGTGAGCTAACCCTTTGTAGGATCTAGCGCCACTTCACTTTCGGGAACCTCCAGACGCGAGACTGATACAACAACACCGTGAGCTAGACATACGCCAGCCCACAAAAGTCAAGGAAACACTCTATCGCTAGGTCCGTACTCACTCTTCCCCTGCAAGCCCACCAAACGCATTCCTTTTCCCGGCCGCATAAACCCTAAAGTTCGACCGAAATCGCACCACGCCGCACATCGCAACGAAGCTACCCACGACTGCGCTTTCGAAGTCGCCCAAAGAACAGACCCACAACCATCACTATTCCTCTACGTGGCCATATTTACTGCGCGCCTTCCTCAACCGCCTTAACTTCAGCCTCGTCGCTTACTCCGGAGACCACGTACCTACTTGCGAATTAGACAATACTAACCTCACCCCTCTTATAGGCTAGGGCGCACCATTTCTACGAAGCATACGCGCGAACATGTTCCAAACGCAGCAGAACCCGGGCCGCGGTGCCCCATTAGGTGCGAATAGGTTGCAGAATGGCAAGATGGGTGAGAATACTCCTAGTGTGGTTGTAGGGCATATCGCTGACTGCTGTTTGTGTAGGTGGCGCATCTCAATGGGGATTCGGAGCCCCCATGGGCGCGCCAGGCTTGCCAAACACGCAAACACGAACAAACGGCGGAGCCATGTCAAGCTTTGCGCAAGCAATGGGCGGCTCGCAGCCTCATACGCCGTTGAATCTTGAGTAAGTGACCACGTAAGATGGCAAAAAAGCAAGGAGATAGCCCGGAGGGCAGGCATGAATCTCAGAAGTCCCCTTCAGAGAAATCGCAAAGATACAAGCTAGATATTAACGATCTCAGGGAGTTCCCTTCGCTATCGGGCGCACCGCAGGCGCAACAGAACACGACCGCGCAACAGATGTGGGCGAACCCTACGATACGAGCGGCGCAACAAAACCAGCAGAACACGATCGGACGTCCACAGGGCCAAGGACAACAGCAAGGGCAAGGTCAAGCTGCACAAGCTGCAAACCAACAACAGCAGAACCAGGGACAGGATGATTCATCCCAAAGTCAGTTTTCTGGTGCTGGCGATGACTATCGATTTGGGGGACAAGGGGGTGTAGGACAACTGGGGGGTGTCCAACCGCAGACGAGCAACGTGGAGGAATTTCCACCGTTGGGTGGCGCTGGCGGAGATATTCCACAAGACCGAAGAGCTGGCCTGATACAGAATGCTGCGGCTTTTGGAGCCAACGGAAACAACGCCTTCCCTGGCCTTGGACAGACACGGAATGGCCTTTCGAGCCCCACAGATAGCCAGCAAGACCGGAGCATCAACCCCACTGTAGGTGGCAGGGCGCTACCTGGCACAGCATCACGGACGCCCTTTGAGAACATGCGGACAAGCAACCAAGCAGATGGGAACCAACGGATAGGACAGTCAGGGAACATGTTTTCTTTAGGTCCTCAGATGGGTATGCGAGGCGGTGCAGATCTTGCCCCCGGAGGACAGCGACCACAGCAAAACCAGTTCGATCAAACGTTTGGAGCAGAGGTTCTCGGCTCCCCCAACGCTCAAAATATGCTGCACAAGAAGTTGTCGGACATGACAGACTCAGAACGATACGGACTGCCTGGCCTGTTGGCGATGATACCTATGGAAAGCCCTGACTACTCTTCGCTGGCTATGGGTCAAGACCTGACAGTCCTGGGCCTGGACCTGAGTCGACCAGAGTAAGCACCACAGATTCCGGTACGTCTTCACTGCTAACATTCCTCTTAGCAACTCACCATTACATCCCACTTTTGGTTCACCGTTCGTGGAGTCCAACGTCAAGCCAGTGATACCACCAGATTTCACTCTACCCGCAGCATACACTGTTACGAACGTTCCGCCGCTACATTCGAAAATGGCCAGCTTCTCTGCGGAGACACTGCTAGCCATCTTCTATCAGTTCCCGCGAGACATCCTGCAAGAAATTGCTGCACAAGAACTGTACAACCGTGACTGGCGGTGGCATATGAAGCTCCAGCAATGGATGATGAAGGATCCAGATCTTGCGGCGCCCATGAGACTGTCACCAAAAGAAGAGCATGGCTGGTACCTATTCTTCGATGTCAAGAACTGGAGGAGAGAAAGGGTACGTATTCTGAACCGCATATATATGCTCTTTGCCAAGTGCCAATCGCTAACATGAGTTCAGAAAGAGTTTGACCTCAACTACGATCACCTTGATCAGCGTCATGGTAGCCCTGCTATGGCGGGACAAATGTAGTGCATTAATCCAAAGAAGGAGCCTTCTGCTCGGTTCTCCGCTCGGAGAACATGATCACGATCTTGTCTTCATATTGAGTGGTAAATCCAAGGGACCAGCAATCACAAAGGTGTGCAATAGTTGGCAGTGACTCCGAAGGGCAACCGTACAATAGAGTCTCCCGAGGGTCTTTCGCCTAACGTTTATGACACTTTGCGAGTCTGCGCTAACATGCATGCGGCTGCGAGGTAAACTGATTCACTATAGCCATTTGACCTGGTCGTACCTTCTCTCACTTGTCTGCCGTGACTTCGCAACAGCCTCACCGCCTTCCTTTTCTGTACCCTTGTTCATACGTGAATACTTCACACGGGAAGCTCCTTCCTTACTCACCACCAGTCTCCACCGTAGTAGCCTTCACAAATTGTTCACTCTACAGGACTTACTACTCTGAAGACTGCTACCGCTACACCTTTCAGGCTTCAAGACTAACACTCAGACTAACAAATAGCAGCCAGACGTTATGTCCTCACCAAAATCGACCGATGCTGACCATGTCCGACAGACTTTGATGAAGCTCTCTGTTGCCGTTCGCGAGACGACACCTGCTGGCGCGAAACAGGTGTCGCACGCGCCCAATTTATTGGCTCGTCCTGTATACGGTGGCTGTCGCGTCTGTGGTCTTCCTGGTCATCAGTCTGCTGATGTTCAACATCCGGCCGCATGTCGAGTCGCTCTGCTCTCGCTGATCGGCTTCTGGGAGGTCGTCGCAGACCACGTATCTTTCCTGTACCAGTATTCCGAACGCTTTCAGAAGGCTATCCAAGCCAACGAGCCGACCTATGCGATGCGTTTCGATAATCGTCCGCTCAAGGGTGGTGACATGGAGGCCGTGCTTGTAGATCGCCTGACGGGAAACTTTCTCAAGTTCCTGGCGCACGTTCGGGGTATCCGAGCCAAGGTTAATGTGGTGCTTGACGAAGAGGGTATAGACAGGTACGAGCGCGTGGCCAAGAACTTGGAGGGATTCTTCCTGGGTGGGCTGACCTGTAAGCCTTCGCACGAACATTCAGAGAAAGACGTTTACTAACTCTGCCGTAGTGTCCAACCTCTACGAGCGCAGTATGGCGATGGAAGAGTGAGGAAGTCTTGTCATACCTGGATGGTCGATTGACTACCCTTCATGATTGTCGTGGGCAGGACCTAAACGTACCATCGAGCATTCTCACATGGATGATTTCTTAGGATGTGGCTCAACGACTCTGTACTCAAGCTAATTTCCATCATCTTCACCATCTTCAGAGAATAATGATAACTTTATAAAACCAAGACTGATACTTCAATTACATCATCTATAGTGGTGAGTGAGAAATTCATCTGAACGTCATTAGAGACAAATCAGCATCCTATGAATGCATGCGATTTAGCGTCAGACTAACATGACTGCTTCGGCAAGTGCAGTTCTCCGAAACCTCCAAACCCCCGTTCAGTATCCGCAAGTCAGCGGCGCAAGGTTGTACGAGCGTCCGGCCATGGAGATGCGTTCTCCGCCATCGTGCGTTCCTCATAACACGTTCATTGGTACACGATCGAGGGTGCCACGGTACGCTCTCTTCGCAACCCATAATCGGTCACGATGTCTGATCAACAATCGCTGTACCTTCCATATCTGATCCGTTCCAGAACAACTGTATCTTGCAGAGGCTTCCACTGCTCTTCCGATAGGAAGATTCTCGCCCGAAGCATTTGGCTCTCTCCAGTCTTCCCGGATCTCACATCACTTGACCCTCAACCACCCTCGCATCGGCAAATCTCTATGGGCTATCCAATCCTACGCGGTCAGTGTGAAGCCACGTGTTGGGAAAAAGAAGACTATTTAGTTATGATCATGAATGTGGAATCCGATGACGGCAGCGCAAGGAGCGACGATGCGACGCAGGGTCTTCTGCTGCAGTACCAGGTTCATACCTTAGTTGAACCCCACTCAGCGACGGTAACAAGACCTCGAAGAAGTTGATTGGTCTTCCTCAACCCTGATCAGCCCTTGTAGCCTATAAGTGCTGTGGTTTCGCTCTTCGGCTACGGGCAAATGGTTGACAATACTGCGGGCACAATGAACCCTTCACTTGCCTGATACGACCTTTGAAGTACATGATGCTCTTTGACGTAGGGAGTCTTTCCTGAGTTTTCTTATCAAGATGCGATTTCCCCACTGTTTTCCAGCAAGAACATATCGATATGGAAGCGGGAAACGGTGCCATCATGGCATACCCGTTGGGTCACGACAAGGGCACGGAAATATTACTCAAAGCCTTTCGGGAACTAAGACAAGATGAAACTGGGTATGTAAATAAGCTGCATGGCCAAGCTTTACTGATATCTTTGTGGGAACAGAGACGGCATAGGGGTTGCAGTGACAAACGTGGAAGATGTCCTACCTCTAGAACATACCCGAATCATTGAGGGCAGACATGTTTCTGGAAACTCAGCTCGATCATCCTTACTGTCGGGAAAGACATCTAGATACGTCGAACTGTCCGCATCAGAACAAGAAACGAATACTTCGACGTACGATGATAGGGCCATATCAGAATCGCCAGAGAATTCGACAGTACTGAAGCTTCATTCCACGGATGTGACCGATATCGCACACCGGACCGATGCTCTTACTTTGACTCGCCGTAAGCCCTCGTCCAGTCTGTCGCATAGTAAGCTCACTGCGGCCATCGACCATGAGCCACCAACGTACCATCCAACAAGTCTACCTCTAGAAGGAATCCTTCCGGTGATCAGCAGTGTTGAAACTGAAGAAGTCATTACAAGAGATGATACAGTCACCACTATCTCGAACACGTCCCTGCGTCTGCCATCATCACGCACCTCAACAATTTGCTCGGCTGTATCAGCAAGATCACATCAAGAGCCCGGACCTATCCAAATTAGTCCATCTGCTCAACTCCAGAGTATGCAATCTATCAGTAAGCTAGATGCAAGACTCAATGAAGTCACTAGTTTATATAGGCCTTGGAGCACGTTACGGTACGGTCGTACAAACAACCAGGCTGCTTATATACCTACCGGCACACCAGAGTCTATATCCAATATACCATTGAAAGCTGATCTCCTTGGATCTCACTCGAGGTTGAATAATAGTATTCTTACTCCATACGCCGATGGAGCTCACAAACACGAATGGGCGAAATCGAGTGAATGGGTTGAGCCCTGTACTATTAACGACGGACCAAAAGAATGGATCGAAGACTTCCTCACACGCCAGGAGCAAGCAGATCGCGATGAGGAAAATGAGAGGCAGCTCCAAGAGAAACAAGACAAGCAATACGGTAGTATCCGCTATCGAGTGAATAGTGCCGACAAGTTTAGGCGCAGGCTGAGCAAGAAGCGTATATCTGGAGGGCGGGGAAGTTTCGAGGCCAGGCAGGAAAGGAAGAACGGAAATGGTCTTAACATTGATTTAGGGCCAACTCCTTTCAGGCAGACATCGGATTCAATACTTGGAGAGGATCTTGATGGGCCAGCGAGAGCGAGAGCTTTCTCATGGACTCCTGATACGCACCAATCTCCCATATCTCTGACTGCTCTACCGGACCGATCATCTTGGACGCCCACTTCATCGTTACCGTCACACCACCCTTCTAGGCGGAAGTTTTCCAACAGTTCTTTCGCGCCGAGCCATCATCGTTCGACTTCTGCTCTAAAACGAGTAGCGACGAGACAACATTCAACCGCTCATTTGAGAACCAGCAGCTGGGAGAATTTGAGAGTGAAGAAGATCACTTCGATAGGTTCAGAATTGAAGAGAACCCTTTCCACGGTGTTTGTACCTGCGATCACAGAGGGAAAGGACAGTATGATGGGCTTAGTGGGAAGAGTGGAGAAAGTCGGTGAGAGTGTGACTAGAAAGCTTAGCGCAAGCTGCAAGGGGAAATGGAAGGGCTTGGGCAAGAAGAAGAAAAGCATGAACGTTGGAGGGATGTATATCATTGGGAGAGAGTGCTGAGATTTAATTCGAGGTAGTGATAGCATCAAGATCAGGATTAGCATCTCCACTCTCGTTTTGCGGACCAATGCATTGATCGGCACACTCTCGCCTGTTGGAAATAATGGCTTTCTAGAATTGTAACAGATTCTATCACACTCGCTATGCCCATTCCACGGCCTGTTCCCTACTATGACAGTCATATCTAGATAAGAGACTGATCTTCTATCATCTTGGAGTTCGTATCGAGTCGTGCTGCTCGATAGACATGAATGATGATTGACTCTAGCGTCCCGATCATGTTTGCCTGAAGCTGTGAGACAATATACTAGTTGGAGATACTGGATACTCGTTGCTCTATAATAGCATCATATTGCTGTGTGTACTAGAGACGAATCGCTACCGAGCCACGATAGTGTTCGGTCTGCTTTTATACCCCGGATCGAGTCGGGCCGGATCAGAATGGGCCGAATTCTGACAGAAACCTCGTCACCACTACCCCTGACCCACGAATACTTTGACCCTCTACCTGAATCTGATAATTTCCCTGGAAAAAACTGCAGGAAACGATGTGTCAGATACCCGTGCTTCGGCTTAAGACATACAGGCAGACGGTACCCCTCAGTACCGACTTATTGGTTCTGCTCGACGCTGATACTCTTATTTACCGCTCCATTGGTTAGAGGACCTCTAAGGAGTTGTTGGCTGATGGTAGATAGGTGCTTCTTTTAGGTTGGTTGGTCATTGTGAGCCAACATTGAGACTGCACACAAAATGTATCTCCGGTTCTCCTGCGTCATTCGATATCCTTCTTCGATCTCCTTCAGTGTCACTATCCGGGACTGCCATCAATTCAAAAGCCGTCTCATACTCTAGGATGCAAGCAGGATAAAATCTAGATTCTATCAAGAAGCGGAAACGATGCCGCAGTACTTCCCGACGGTCCCTCATCAACCTCTTCAGCCGTCAACCCCCCATCGTGGCTTCAAAGCGTATTTTCTGAACAACCACCCTGTCCTCTATACAAAGCTCCGTACGTTTAGCACAACTTATACGCATCCCTCTCTTTGTTCGCACACTGTTTCAGCAATATATCCTTGGCCGTATGTTGTAGCATCCACTTTCCGAGCAACATATCCGATACTCACTGACGATGTACCAGTCTCGACGCTATCCTACTCCCAAAACGCAGACCTTACGAAACCCCTTTGGATCGAATATACGTAATGTACCACTACCTCATCCGTGGTGACTACGAAGTCCTCCGCAACGAAGTCCAGGACTTCTTCGACCACAAGCACTGGCATGTCCAATCCATTCCCGACCCTCGGGATCACGATCCAGAACGTTATGCCATCCTAGCAGCCATAACGGAATATCTTGCACATGGCATCAATCGGCGTATCATGATTTCTCAGGGCTATCGGAAGGATCCAATAGGTCCGTGGCGGACGGTGGCCTACCACTTTTTCCATGGTACCAAGGGCTATCTGCCGATTCTTGAGAAGCTAGATAAGGCGCCGAAGTGGGCAGGAAGGGTCAAGATGGTGGAGAGTAGGCTGGAAATCTGTCAGAGTTGGACAAGTGAGGTCTGGGGTGGGAAGAGTAGTTTGAAGTTTGCGGCGAAGGGAATTGTGTGCACTGAGATCGTGGAGTGCTTCATTTGATGATAAGTAGACGAGTAGGATACACCATGTGAGTGTTGTGTGTGTACTTCATATTCGCATTGCTTAACTAGCTAGGAGTTTCTATCAAGTTTCCAATGGATCGCATCATCACGAGCCTCTATACCCCTACGCGGCTTCGTCCTCGATTTCCAAATCTCCTACCTTGAACTTCTTTCCCTTCTTATCTGCGTAATCCGTATGATCGTGGTAGTCCTTCACCCTCTCTCTCACATATTCCAATCCCCTCACCGGCTTCTTGTGGGCCGCATCATCGCCAACAAGACCCAATCTCCTCAGTAGCGGCGACGCCACCGGCTTGATATCCACATCGTTTCCTGGTCGAACAAAGTAAAACAAGCCCAGTCGGTGGATGTATGCTTGATCCTCTGGCGGTCTAATAACCCGATGGATAGTTGACTTTAGATAGCCTGCCGACCAAAAGGACAGAGTATCGCCAACATTACAAACGATGCCGTTGGGTACAGGTGGGACGTACTTCCATTCTCCAGTCGGCGTTTTGAGTTGTAGACCAGCAACATCCTGGCTCCACAGTAGAGTCAAACTTCCAAAATCCGTGTGCGCGCGAGACCAGGTATTTTGAACCTTGGCGTCGTCGGCGGCAGGACGGGGGTGGTAAATCATGTAGCGGAGATGGTCTTCTGACGGGTCATCGTAGCGGTGCTGGTCAGAGAAGTAATTTTCTGGTAGTTCTAGTATCAAGGAGAAGAGCTTGAAGATCTTCGAAGCGATGTCCAGAGATCGACGGGAAAAGTCCTCAATCTCGGACCGGAACGAATGCAAGAATGGGTGGAATGGTTCGTGAGAGTTTGAAGGAATAAATTTAGGTATGTTGATCGATTCGACATTATCGAGAACGGTTGTACCCATTATCTTCTTCTCGTTTGCCTTTTTCTCGCGTTAGTGTGCATGTACTGCTGTCGCGCTTGCTGTTTAGATGGAGATACCTACAGCGCGGTACCCGAAATAGTTTCCATTTGCGAAATCACATCGGTACTCTGGGTCGCCCTTCTCCTCCAATGGCAAGTTGAAGTAAGCTTGACCGATGTCATATTGCCGATCAATCTCTTCTTGGGTGAAGCCAGTACCAGTGACGCTGAAGAAACCTGTGTGGTGCACCTCCGTGCTCGTCAGGATATAGGCTCATTGTACAATATCTGTTAATTTACAGCGTCTCTTAATTCTTCAGCCAATTTCTGTTTCCCATTAGGCTCGTCGAATTTGGATAGATCGATGATCTTAATATCTGCCCAGTTCAAGTCCTCGGTCGTGTGCTGGGGTCGCTTCCACTTCGCGATGGGTGGTGGTTCTTGCGGCACCGCTGACGGCATGTTGTTGGTGGGAGTAGCGGGATTTGAGGTTTGTGAGCATGATGATTACGCCTATATGTATTCGACGAAGTTATCCCCGGTTCTTTCTGGCCTATCATAGTTGTTTGTGTTCCCTGACAGAGATGCGGAGGTGGCGAGCACGCAATACCCCGCTAGACGTCGTGCTCGCATGACTGCGTCATATAACGCATACTCTTCTCATCTGTATTCCAAAATCCTTCACCTGAAATGCGAATCCGTGCGAAGCAGGTTTCTGAGTCACGATCGTTATTTCGACCATATCGAGGATCCTTACTGTGCGTAATCGCGATTGATACGTTCCATAGGGCATGGAAATGTCGCCCGAGCCGGATGTTTTGTGCAAAGGTATCACAGCACCTAGTATGCGTTTTGACCGTTCTTTGCAGTCAGTAAGCAGCATTCGAAGTTACTGTCAAGTGTCATGGGACCTTTCCGGCAGCTCTCTGCTTGACAGAATAGTATGAAGTTACTGGTCGTGCGTGTCGTAATGATGCCTCATCCGTACAGATAATACGCATGCTAAGGTTGTGCGACCACCTAGAAAGAGAGACGTGACGTTTCCTCTCTAGCTACAGTGACGTCGACGACAGCGTGGAAGCGTAAAACAGTCATGTTTTCGAGCGACTGCTAGATCAATCGACCATCTCTTGAGTCTGTTTCCACTTCTTGGCTCTTCTTCCCGCTTGTTGTAATTCGTACTATTCAGAAAGGAGGCATTCAAGGCAGAAATGACAGCAACTCGAAAACTTGAAGAAGACATGACCAGAACGATTGGCCATGTACAACCACCTGATACACTTAAAACTCAATGCGCGGATAATGCACTCCAAGAGGCTCACCGAAAAGTGGATGCCCGTATGCTATACTGGTATGCCTTCGTCTTCCTCGTCATGCGCATGAACGTCAACAACATTTCAAACACAGCGATTTTGAACAAGGAGGAAGGTACCGACATAAGAAAGCAGCTTGGTAACCTTTCTTCATCTCAATGGGCATGGGCTTTGAGCATCTTCTGGTATCCATATATGCTGTTCGAGCCGGTTGCAACGTTGATGTTGAAACGTTTCTCACCAAGCATCTGGATGAGCCGGATCATGTTCACTTGGGGTGTTGTATCGATGTGTCAGGCTGCGACGCACAACTGCTCCGGTATACTGGCTTGTCGCTTCTTTCTGGGCATGGCCGAGGCGGGTAAGTTGTGACTGTACGAAAAGCTTGTAAGACATATACTGACTTTGCATCTTCACATCTGCAGGCTTTTTCCCCGGCGTGTTGTACCATCTCAGCTTTTGGTATCCTGCACACCGACTGCCGTTGCGTGTTGCGTTTCTGTATGCGTGTGGCATGTTCGCGGGTACGGTCAGCGGGCTACTCGCGTATGCGATAAGCCACATGAATGGGGTTGGCGGACTTGCTGGTTGGCGATGGGCAGGTGATCGAACTCTTCTTAGATTCATATGCTAACAAACTTCAGCTTTTCATCATCGAGGGTATATTGCCCACAATATGTTCGGCATATACGTACTTCCGTTTACCAGGTTACCCGCAGACTGTCGATTTCCTGAGCGAAGACGAGTGCGCAGCCATCTTGGCTGATCTACCACAGCAAGCACCCACTATGCGCGCAAAAACGTTTGACACAGATCAGGTCAAGTCTTTGTTCAAAAGCGCAACCTTCTTCCCGTTCCTCATGATCTGGACAACGCACGGTATCGGTGGATGGGGCATATCGTTCGTTCTTCCCACCGTCATCTACGAGTTAGGCATTTCCAACACAGCCGTGTCTCAGGTTCTGACTATACCGCCTTTCGCACTTGTCTTCCTTATACTGATGAGTCTCGCATACTTCATCCATCACGGGTATCTCTCGCCTTGGGTTGCCGGTCTTGGAGTTGAGGGCATACAGATAATATGCTATATCCTGTTGATCAACGTCAAACAACCAGTCGCGAAGTACATCTTTGTCATGATAGCGACAGCAGCCTCTCAATCTTTCTTCGCAATTATTTGGCCCGAGCGTATACGTGTGGCAAAGGGTACCACGACAGCTGGACTGGCCATTGGGATGACGAATGCAAGCGGACAGCTCATGGGCATTGTTGGGCCCCAGATCTATCAGCCGAAATTTGGTCCAACATATCGAATTAGCTACGCCTGTTCTATCGCGTTGCTTGCAATGTGTCTGGGGGCTGTTTTGAGCACTTGGCACTTTGTGCGGAAGGGAGACGCCAAAGGAATGACAATGCAGGAGACTGAAGATGGGGTATTGGTTGCGTAAGATCCGTGATACTCAGGCATTTTAGAATCGAGAGGCCAATAAGCTGACTAATGATCGAGCAGGTATCACTGCAAGTCTTCATGAACCTGGTAAATGTGCACAGTTGGTGAGAAGCATGTTCCGATCGTAGAAAACAATGTTGGGTGCAGGATGTTGATGGGAGGTTCTGGGCATCGTGGTGTGGAGGCCTTATCAGCGTCGACAAGATCCTGTCGGGGCTTTCGCATCCTCCGATTTCCAGTTAAGCCCATTGAAGCAATAAGTACGAGCACCTTCGTCTCTCACGGTGCCGGAAGATAATTGATGGCCGACAGTCTTTCGAGCTTTTGTCCCTGCAGAAGTGCACGCCTAGAACCCAAACAGACTATATCCAATCGCCAAAGCCCCAAGAATTGAAGTTAGCAGCGTTCAGGGCGACCGCCGATTGTCTTGGAACTCTGGTGATGTCATTAGCGACGGTGAAATTTCGCCGTAGCGCCTGAGAACCCGATCCGCAAGTTCCAAGTACGGAGTTCTGACTCGCGATACTGTCTGCATCCTAGTGGGCTGCACCTGGGGTAAGGAAGGATAGTACAATCAGGACGCATGCAAAGGACCGAAGGAGAGAATGGATGAAGAATATATAGTTTAGATGTACGGACGTCCGTCTCGGAAAAAACACGCTTACAGTTTCCTTTTCATCCTGCTGCACATGTTTAGCCGCAGTACCTTCCATATCTGTGTCAGAATCATATCTCAGCCACTCAGCACCTAAAATCCCCATCCACACCTTCTCCGAATTTCCTCGTCGCCAAAAAGATGCCGTCAGCTACAAGTCCTCTCAACATTCTCATAAACGGCTCTGGTATCGCCGGTCCTGTCACTGCATACTGGCTGCACCGCTTTATGCCAACATGTCAAATCACCATCCTAGAGCGTGCGCCTGAACCAAGATTGGGTGGACAAGCCGTGGATCTCCGCTCTTCATGTCTGCCAATCGTGAAGAAGATGGGAGTATTGGAAAAAGTGAAAGAGAAGACTACAACAGAAGTTGGCATGCAATTTGTGTACCGGGATGGCCAAAGGCGAGCGACTTTTGAGGCTACTGGAGAGGAGGAGCGGCAAAGTGGTATGTTAGTCCCAATGCCTTGCGAACAGAAAAACACCAGTCGAGACGCGATAAGAACTTCAACCTAACCTCGTTCCAGCAACAAGCGAGTACGAAATCTTACGAGGAGACATGGCACGCATCGTGTATGAACTCACAAAGAATAACCCACAAATAACCTACATTTTCGACGAGATGGCCATCGAAGTCCAACAAGACGAATCAAAAGACGGCAAAGCCCTTGTCACCTTCAAGAACGGCAAACTTCCTCCCACAGAATTCGACATTGTGATAGGCGCCGATGGCCAGATGTCAAGGACCCGCCGTATGGTCTTTGGTCACGGACCCAACAACGACGATTACCTGTATCGTCTCGGACAGTACTCTGCTCTCTTCACCATGCCTCGCGATCCCACCGACACCCAGTATGCACAATGGTACAATGCATCGCGCGGCCGGCTGTTTTTGTTACGACCTGATCAGTATGGTACAACCAGAGCTTATCTCGCCGTCACCGATGCGAACTTGAGTCGTTTTGATGAGCTAGATAAGCTGTTGAAGAAGGGAACCAGGGAGGAGCAGCAAGCGTGGTTCGAAAAGGAGTTTGAGGGCGCGGGATGGCAGACTGAGCGTTGCATACGGGAGATGAAGAAGGCGGATGACTTCTACATGCAGCAGATTGCGCAGGTCAAGATGGATACTTGGCATAAGGGGCGAGTGGCTCTAGTGGGCGATGCTGCGTATTGCCCAAGTCCGATCTCTGGTGTCGTAAGCTGCCTCAACACATCTTCTTAACACTGACGTGTGATACTAACATCTACAATAGGGAACTGGAGCAGCCATAGTCGGCGCCTATGTCCTCGCTGGCGAGATCTCTCGTAACCAAGAGGATATTCCCACTGCACTAGCAAACTACGAACGTGTTGCACGGGAATACGTAGACAAGGCGCAGAAGCTCATCCCAGGAGCACCACAGATTGCGAACCCGCAGACTGAGTGGGGGATCAAGATCTTCAACACTGTGACCGGCACGCTATCACATCCGTATATTCAGAAGTTCAGTGGTGTGATTGGAAAGATCATTCCGGCGTTTGGGTCGTCAAAGATTTGGAGCCCGCCAGAGTATGGGTCATAGAGTCGACGTATGGCTCGTGTATTAGCATTTTAGTTCAGGATAAATCGATTATGCGCTGGTAAAATACCGCATGATTTTAGCACTGATGCATTCACCCTGCCCCAATAAGAACCTTCACAGACGTATTATAAAGGAGGTCGAGTTTTGCGTCTTGCCAGCGCGAACATCTTCTGCCCGTCTACTAGCTAAGCAGATCTACGCCAACACCTCGAAGCGCATCGACTGCCCATCGAGGGTACTTGTCCATCTCTCCGTTGTGCAACTTGCTAAAGAAGTCTTTGACGAACTGCGGGTATCGATCTTGTATGATGGCCTCTCTTGCCTCTTTCATCAAATTGAGCTGGTAGTGCACATTGTGCATTGTAAGAAGATGCGCTCCGGCGGTCTCTTTGGCGGTAACATGATAGATGTATGCCCTCGTGATACCAAGTCCACCTTCGGACATTGGACGGCAGCAGGTGCATTTACAACCTTCCTCGATAGGGCCAAAATCTTCAGAGTAAGCGGCGTTGCGTAGGTTGAGGCCACCGTGGGCAGTAATGGCGTTGCCAAAACGCTGGGAAACGTTAGTCCGAGTCTACAGTGAAGCAGACAGTATGCCTTACAGCCGTGCGGGTTGGCCAAACGCAGTCGAACATGTCCGCGCCAAGTGCTACGGACACGACCAAATCTTCGGGGTAGCCCTGGTTCTGTCAGTAAGCTGTGACATGTCGCAAGTCATCCAAGTCATACCACGCCCATGACATATCGAGGCTTCTTTTCAGGTAGCAGATCGGTGCATGTCTTGACGACGTCACAGTAAGCCGCTTTTTCCTCACCACCAGACAAGCCTCCTATCGCAATGCCTGGCGTATCTCGCGCGACCATCTCAGCCGTACATTCCCGCCGCATGTCTAGGTCTAAACCTCCTTGTATAATGCAGAAGAGGTTCTGCTTCTCTGGGTTTTTGTGCGCTTGTATACAGCGGTCAAGCCAGCGTACCGAACGTTCCATGGCTTCCTTCATACGCGCATGATCGGGCGAGGTGGTCGCGATAACGTCGTCGAGTTGCATAATGATGTCGGACCCGATCGAGTTCTGGAGGGATATTGAGTGTTCGGGCGTGAGCAGCATGGGAGACCCATCGTGGGGACTGAGGAAGCGGACGCCTTCCTCTGTGACTTTGGCGAGTTTGAGTAGCGATACCATCTGGAAGCTGGTGTTGATATCAGCTGCTGCTCAATTGCGACGAAATTGGAGGTATCACCCACCCACCGCTATCTGTAGCAGTCAGCACTTCCGCCTCTTCATCCTGTTGTAGTGTTGTGTTTGGCACCTGTAAGGATATTGTGTGGCCATGACTGCAGCTTGTGCGCGCCGCCTATGGCATCAAGTGTCGCCTGTCCTGGCTTCAGACCTCTCCCTCAAGTCAGCAGCTGCTGGCACATATGGAGGCAAGACTTCTCCCGTACAGATGGTACGTGTTGTTCAAGCATAGCCGACATCCCTGGTCTTCTAGTTGATCTGGCGTGAGGCCTTTGAGGGAAGCCTGCGTCGCAACGGGCATGAAGATGGGGAGGGGTACAGGGCCATGAGGCAGATGCAGCGTTGCGGCGCGTGCTTTGGTCACCTGAGGCTGTCAGAGGGTGCGCAACATGTCAAGCTCGGATATTGCATACTGAGCACTTCCCCAGCAGCTCAAAGGTGAGCGCTGAAGGCATCGATACGGGTGCCATGATGCGATTGGAGGCGATGCATCCCGCAATAAGACGCGACATTGCGACCGATGATTCGGTTACGGCCCGTTCGCTTAGCGCGACTTCCCGTCGTTCATCTTCATGATTCGTTCCAGAGCAAGTCAATCGCATTTGATAATTATGAGGCTTAATACTCCCACCTAACAGAGAAGATGTTTTGTTTCAAGATTTCATGAGATCCAGTAGCACTGATTGCCAGAAACATGTTCGCGTCAATCCATAATGATATATGTGCAACCCAGTTAAACCCAACCAAGATTAGACCATACGCTGGCAAAGAAGAGCAGGACATATTCTAAATGAACATCTTATCACCATGATATTTGACATCCTCCCTGTATGCCGTAGACTTGACCGAGGCCTCTAGCTCTCTCTTCGGGAAACCCTTGAAGGAGCGCGCATATGTCGCGACCGAGTGTGCGATGAGCTGGGAAGTGTTAGCGGAATCCCTCTGTATACTGAGTATTAGAAGTGCTTACCTTGGTGTTGACGACCCACGCCGTCTCATTGAGGTTTGAGATATCGTCGCAAAGCTGATGGTAGCAGTTGTCATACCAATCTCCCGCCTTTCCACCAAACATCTCAACCTCCTTTTCCGTCTTGATACCCTCCGCTCCCGTAGCGATACCACCACCAGGAATGCCGTTTCGGATGAAGCCATCATAGTCGCTGCGACCATCGAAGGGAATAAAGGTGTAGTTCAGACCTTGATCCTTGTACCATTGGATGTACAGATCGCGCAACTCTTCTGAACCATTAGGGTTCAGCGCGTTTGTAGCGTTGTAGATTTGGTAGGCGAAGTTCGGGCTAGCCATCATATCGTAATCCATGAAGAGACGGATCTTCTGGTTCTCCTTCTCGGGCAAAGAGGCGACATAGTAGTCAGAACCCAATAAGCCTTCTTCTTCACCTGCCCACCAGGCAAACCTCACACAGTTGCTCACGTTGAACTTGGTGAGTTGTGTGGCAACCTCAAGCAGCGACATCGTACCTGATCCATCATCGTTAATTCCAGGGCCTTCAGTAACACTGTCACTGTGGGCACCGAGCATGACACAATTGTCTGGGTCGCCAGCTGTCGTCTGCGCGACAATGTTGACGGTAAGGATCGTGTTCACTTCGGCGTCGATGTAGGCGATCGCATCAACGCGCTTTCCCTTCTCAAGCTTCTTCAGAATTGGCTCAGCTTCTTCGCCAGAGAGGCCAAATGTGGCAATGTGATCTGGTGATGGCGTTCCGAGGGTACCTGAGACAGCATCTTTCTCGTAGTTGTAGACAATGGCAGCAACAGCACCTTTGCGACCAGCATGCTCAGACTTGGTGCCGAAGGGGCACACACCACGCTTGACGAAGGCGATGTTGCCAGCTACGGAGTCCGGGAAGTCAGACTCCTGGCAACCCTCGTTTTCAACAAAAACAAGATCGCCGTGCACAGGCTCTTTGTCCTTGGTGGCTGGCGTCAATCCCATAGCCCTTGCAGACTTGGGCACGCTGTCACCGATAACAAGACGCGATTCAAAAACATTGCCGGAAACAGCTGGGAATGTCTGGTTGGTGATGGTGTAGTAGTCGCCAAGCTCAAGGACAGTTTCATAGATGTAAGATAGCGTTCCGAGGTGGCCTACGAGTTCGTTAGCATCAGCAAGCAACACGTCACGTGTGCAGACTTACCAGCACTCCCGATTACTCTGGTGGGGTGGTTGTATTCCTCCTCGCCGAGCTTCGCAATCTCATACATCTTCTTAGCGCGCGCCATCAACCTGTCTCCGCTGATGAGGTCCTGGAGCTCCGTGGATTTGACCAGCGGTTTCGTTCCATGTGGATGTCCTAGTGACGCTTGGTTACCGGATGATAGAAGTGGGACCTGGAGCGCAGCCGCGCTTGTGATGGCTGCGCACAGCGCAAAGCCTGAGTAGAAGACCATGTTGTAAGATGCTGAGATGGAAAGGTGTGGAGGTGAAGTGAGATGGATGGATGATGTTTGTCTGTTGATAGAGGTGTCGCTGTTGCCATGACGCTACAGTAGCGTGTCAGTCAACGCCCCAGGTCAGTCAACGCCCCACCCACAACACAACAGCTTCATGAGTATTGCAGCTATAACGCCTCAACAAAACGTGATAAAATTGCGCAAAAGTAGATTTATAC